CATATGTAGGCTTCATATTTAATTGCTATTTGGTTTGTATTGTTTTTATCATTGTGTTGTTGGAGGAATTGAAACGTTTTTGTTACTCATTTTTATGAAGTAGGCATTATGTAGCATGCTATGCAAAAGGATTGTGGTCTAGTTTGTATGATGGACTATCTAGCTACTTCATTAGGCCTAATAATACAGGATCTTATTGTTTTGGTGAGAAGTCTGTTTCTCAGATCATAATAATCATAAATGCTTGCCCCCCTATATGAAAACGAAATGAGTAGCTATACAACATAGTCCTACCAACGATAGAAAACCAGAACCCTTAAGACGGATCGCCATTCAGATCGACAATCTATACGTCTTTCCATCTACTTCATAAGATGGGCTGAACTTTGAAGAAAAGGCTGGGGCTGATTATAATATTATACAAAACGCCGCTTTTTTTTTTTTAGCTTGGGCGCCGCGGACAGACGCCGAATGGCGCCGCCGGTGTGTGTACACTCATAGAGAATAATGTGTTCGAATTTTAAAGACCTGGCGCTGCGCGACGCGGCGCTGCGCTTCTCGTCCGGTGTGCGACCCCCTTTAGTGTAGCATCCCGATGGAAAATGAAGAACTTCACTCAGGGTCTTAAGATTTTTAATTTGTTGCATTATGTGTATTTCATGTGCACATTGTCTTCCTTTGCCATTTCCAGCCACAGTTGTTTAGTAAAGTTTGTTGCTGTTCTGGTGCTTTTGATTGGTTCTCATGTTTGAATATGCAGCACTCAATTAAACTGCCTCTAAAGCTGTGTTTTTAAAATGGTTAACCATTGAAAAACAAAACATTAATGGCAGCATCAAAAATGAGGAAAACATTGATGTAAATAAAACATGTAGCTTGTTGTTTAGCTAGTTTTTAGTTTAAGTTAGAGCTATAGTCTATTAACGAATAAATGTAAAAACACACTCAATGTAATATTTAATTAAGTAAACCCCACAATTAATTGAGTTTTTGAAGTTTCTGTTGTAACGTCTATTGCAGTTTTCATCCACTAGATGGTGCCATTGTCTTTGAATAGGCCTTGTGATGAGTGTTTTTAACCATTTGATGTGTATGTGAGCATGGCAGTGTGTTTGGTTTGTGTCACTGAGTGTGATGTAGTTTTAGTGTAGCCTATAAAAATTGTGTGTACAAGTTCACAGCAGACCAACAGAAACAGTGATAGCTGCCATTTGGCTGAACAATTGCTGCTGCTCATTTTCATGAAACGTTTTTTATTTTTTTATTAGAAATTGTATTAGCATGAAATTAGTATGTGTTCATTTTGAAATATTAAATAATGTTTAACGACATTGCGTGTCTATTTTGAATTTTTTCAAGTCTTCATAGTAAACTTTTGTAGCCCACAATAAAATACGATTTAAATGAGTATAGCTGAATACATAACTATTGATTTAAAATAAAACATGTTTTTTTTTTCACAATTACATTTTTTGCTGGTCTGGTCATTTCATGGACACACCCTATTTACACTTGACAAAACATGTGTCTGTGTTCCAAAAATAGATACTATTTCTGATAAGGCTTTGATGTAACACTGAATATCTGATTATTCACAACCAATAAAAGAGTAACATTTCAAATTATTGTTTTACATAATATACAGAGGCTGTGGAGCCACCACCAGCATTCTGACAGTTTGAATTGAGTGTGACCAGAAATGGTTACTGAGTTCTGACTAGCCCTGTGTCAAAATTAAGTGTTATAATTCTGTTTGCAAATTTGAAGTAAAACACCTTGTCAATGCCATTGTCATTTGTAGTATTATTCTTGATGTTACCTAAATCAATAAAGAAAAAATGCTTTTTTTGAAGATGGGGAGCACGTTGAAATATAAACTATATTATGCCATCTTTATTTAATTTATCAGGGGTAGCATATTCTGATAGACTAATTATGATTTTTGACGATCAGCTAGTGTCCTGACGGCATGACCAACAGCAAAGTTGCACAGATTTATGGGCAGGGAAATGGACAACGCTTGTGGAACACGCACATGCGCAGAACCCGGTAGCATAAATCGACAGAACACCGAACAAAGTAATTTGGACAACCTTACTGATAAAAATCTACAAGAAGTAGGCCCTACTAGTGGCAACATTTTTTCTTCATTTGTTGTAACCGGTATAAATTGTTTGCAAAAAGTGTGGTCCTCTCTCGATGGTGATTGTCTAAATGCATGAAATCTCCCGCTGGCCCATCACCAAAAGTGACGTTATGTCATATTTTTAATAAATTACCACTTGTGCATTATTTAACAATGTGCACCCTAGATGCCAATTGCAATCTTATGATATTCAAACAATAACTCACGAGATATTATCGACTTTTTCAGCCTAAAATGCATTATTAAATTGTGCAATTGACAAAAAATGCAACAGTGCCATCATGTGATGAAATAACAAAACAGCAAGACATATTGAATCACTCCACTGAAGAGAACAAATAGGAAATATTTTTTTCCTCTATATTAGTATAACAGTATTAACAATGCAACATACAGGAATACATATAGTCTATGCTTACAACGCATAAAAATACAAACTGCAAATAGGAAAGATGAAAAAGAGAAGATTTGATGGTTACTTTCTAGAGGGGAGGTTAAAACTATGTAAAAGTGTTTTGCCTCAAGGAGTTCATTGAACAGTGGTCATATTTCTAGAATATTTTCACACTTCCTTTTAGTTTGATTTACAAAAGAGCCTTTTACAAATTTGGACATAGACATCATATCAACAAAGCTAAAGTAGCCTAGTGTTTTTTTAATAGTACAAACTTCTCAGCTGACATAACTTACAAATTTAAGCTCATTAATATCTTCGAATAAATATCCATTAGATTACCGTCCTTTTAAATTTCTATGTAAAATTAAATTTTACAGCAACACTTTTAATGAAGGCTGGAGCATGTAGGCCTGTACACACTCCAGTCCAGTTGGTGGCGCTAATGCACCTCTCAGCTAGTTTGCCAACCGACAATAAAAATGAAGAAGTCGAAGTTTGAGAGAAAAAAAAAAAATCAAGGCTGACGGCGATGGGCTTATCGACGACGTTGTGCACTGACGGAGTACCCTATCCACATCCACACACGTAGCTGTCACACGACAGTCTCCTTTGTTAGGTTATCTGTGGCACTGTCCACTCGCCATAACCCTACCCCAGACCTAAACCTACCCATAACAGTGCGTGTTATATTGACGCTAAAGGATGCCATGTGCGTAAGATTTCGACGAAATGTCATATGGCGTCACCTAGATGACGCCAAAGGATGAGAATGCGTTGGGGTTTTTTTATGTGTTTATTATAGGTTGAATTAATATCAAAATCTGCCAAACTTCCCATACTACTTCTGAATAGGTTGTCTACTTCATAAATTGTATAAAAAATGTGGAATATGGTTCAGATCACTCAAACCACATATGGAAATGGAGGCGCCCTAATATGGGCAGTAATGGAGTCTGGTTGTGACCTAGTGAAAAAGTTTGGTACTGCGCCCAAACAAAATCTTACTGAAAGCTCTTTTTTTAGATATCAACCTAAAATTTGAAATACAACTTGTTCAGATTTTTGGCTTTGATTTTCTTGCAGTTTTAGAGTCGAACATGTTTTGAAAATATAGATTTTATATAAAATATAATTATTTATTTTCATAAACTCAAACTTCTATAACTTTTTTTCTGTTTCAGTTTCTTCATTTATTTAACTTCTACAAGAATCTGCCAAATGCCTTCTTTAAAACAAGACCAGCATTTTTGAATTACAACCATTTAAGTTCGGAATGGGGGGGTTGTTGTCAACTAATAGTGACAACATTTGGAGAAAACTTACCGTTTCAGAGAGGCTGTGTGCAGACTGAGCAGGTCACAGTTCCTGATCATTAAACTATATCCGTGTCCACATTGTTTATCGTCATGTAGATGTGCCCAAAAGCTGTCAATTAGATTGTCATTATAACAATATTATCATTAAATAAAAATGGTGTTTGCCTTGCATGTCGTTGCTATCGACGTTTGCAGTCTGTCTAATCTACTTCACTGTAATTGGATTAACATCTAACAAACTGTCCACCTCAGACTAGACTTCAGTCATTAAAACCCGACTGAACGGCGCCCTCTTACTGCAGGAGCTGTGAAGTTCAACAACAAAAATACTCAAGGACAAAACCATACTTTCTTTCTACTATAGGTGACAAATTATAATAATAATAATAATAATAAAAACAGTTTGTCTTCATTTTAAAATGTTTTGTCTAATCTCCACTAGGGCCTACATTGAACAGAAGGCCTATTTTGGCCATTTAAAAAATGTTAATACATTTTTTGATAATGAAAAATCATAGATTCAGTTTATTTTTAAGAAATAAAATATTTTCTAAAACATTTGAAATGTTAAATATTTAGATATATAGTAGACAAATTGCCGGAATTAAATGATTGATTTTGATAAAATCGGCTGTAACATTAGGATGTAAGATTATTAAAGAATTTATAAGAAATGTACAATTTGATATTACATATATATATTATATATATATACCGTATATAGGCCTAGTCTAGTTTTTATAGGCTAATTAAATAGGCTATATTTTGGATTATAGGCCACTGATATTTTGTTTGTTTTTTTCACAAAGAAAAAAGGCCTATATACAGTCTAAATATCCTTATGAGAAATACTGGCCTAAATAAAATTTAAATCTTAAACAAATAGCCTAGGCAAATAAACAATAAATAGGCTAAAGTTTAGAATGGCTACATTAGATCATTCTAAATTAGCATATTGCATTATTTAACTGATCAATTCATCAAAATAAAGTAAAATACAAGCCTAATGAAACTTTTAATGATAAATGAAACTTTTATTATAGGCCTAAATATGGTTAGGCTACAGAGGGTTAAAAAAAAAAAAAAAAAAAAAAACTCATATGGATATAGGCTACAACCTAAAATACATATGTCAAAAAATCAAGGTGGTCTGGGAACCCCTTCATAATCTGAAGTTAATTTCAGATTCAGTCTCTTTCTCTGAACTTGCTTTTGCACAAGTGTTTTCCCTGAAAAGAGCAGATTTGTTTCTTGCACCCCCAGCACGGCTGAATATCATGGTCTCCATCAGAAGTGTCGCGATGACAAAGATCGCAGTCTGAGCCTTTGTTTTTCATTTTACTGCGAACCAGCCGTCGAAGCTCCCTGCGTTTATCGTTATCCACACAGCACGCCACGTCGATCACCTCGATGCGACTAGGGTCCCAAACGCAGTCCTCCTCGCGACCGGACTTGATGGTGGAGATGTTGCTGTTTGGCGGAACCCACGCGCAGTCGTACCCGTTGCTGTGCCACGATTTCTTGAGAGGATGACTATCACAGTCTATTTTCTTCACTTTTCCAATACGCACCCGCAGTTTGAAAACAACTTTGTCGTTGACGTCAGTCTTGAGCGGGTAACACTTGGCTTTATCAATGTTACGACTGACATAAACCCCGGGGCCTAGCATTCCATCTTTAGAGGGTATAAATCCTTTATTAATGATAGCTGTTGCGTTCTTCAAATGTGCTCCGTGAAACATTGTGTATACACGGCCTGACCTCGGTTCCTGGTTCTCGGACAGAGACTTACTGCGGTCTTTATCAGCTTCCCAGCCAGAGAAAGACACTTCTCTCTCCATTCTAAGATTGAATACGTAGATTGAATTAGTATTTGGAAGCACTAAAACAGACTTTTATGTTTAGCTAAAATCCACGGAAATCATCATCAAATGGGAAAATGTGCTCACCTTCTCCGAGATCGTATAGCCTATAGCCTACACCCGATAACTTTTTACCTTCGATTTCGTTACTTGCAAAATAAAAACCATCGCGAGATTCCAAAACCTTTAATCGTCATTCCCATGACAGCTTTCTATTTTAAATAGGCGTGATATAGGCTATTATATAAAGTAGCCAACGCTACATTGTTTTTATACAGGTAGCCTGTTCCAGCAGCATTTGCCTTTGATGCACTGTAAAAAAAAAAAAAAAAAAAAAAATCTATCTATTTAAATCTATTTCTATCCGTAGGCTGGGCCTAATATTTGTTTCCATCCAATAACTTGACACTTAAAGTTTTGTCAATTTGAGCTCGTAACACTTTGGTTTTGATTAAAAAATTAAGACGGCAATAGTTTTTAAAAACTTATATTCTTTAAATTTAGTGGGTTGATTTTTTTTTTACTGTGATCAAAACATTAATTATCGCTTAATGGGTTTTAAGCCTATACAGTCCTTACACTATCCATAGGTTACCCCATACTATAATCTCCTCTAAAAAATTAAGTTTTTGACGCAGGGCCTCTAAATGAAAAACAGATTTATATACCGTACGTTTAATTTATATATTTTCCCTTGACTTCATCTTTTGTGTTTAAATAAACCATACTGTTAGGTAAATTACTTTTCTCTTTTTTCTTTATCATTTTCCTCGCTATCATATTCAGCTTTTAATGTCACACTCTCCATTTTTTTCAACAGTGCAGCCTTAATAGTGTACTCTGATCTACAGTAGATGCAAATCATTAAGAAACGTCTCCAAGCCAGTTATTTGCATTTAACCAAATGATGAAGGCTTCACAAGCGAAACCATGTGAAGGGTATGATTAGAGGTGCGTGAGCTTGACCATAAGCGACATACTGTATGTCTACTTGGGGTTTTAAATCTTCTTTCTTCCTTGATATAATGAACGTGGTATGAGTTCTGCTGGAATAGGAATCAAAATTGAAGACCTGAGAAACCTGGCAGCACTCGGCTAAAATTATGATGGAGACAGGTGAGAGTTTGTGAAAAGTATTTTAGTATTTTTTAACATAAAATGTGTTCGCTCTTTCTAGGCCAATACCTAAAGCTAACAGTTGTGAACGTCTCACTTTTTTTTAAAAGAACCTGGCTTGACCCTGTTTTAGAACGTAAACAATAAGTGTGCAAAATCTGTATAGGCTAGCCTACTGAAACGTGAAAATTAAGTGCTTTGAAATACGGGCTCTTGTGATAGACGTAATTACTTGTTAAAAGCTAACAGAAATATAAACAAAATATCCAAATGTCTGCACCTCAGCGGGGGTTTTGGCACTAAGAATGATTTAATAATTTGTGCGATAGGTTAAAAGTGCCTGTTATCGACACGTGACTATATCAGATGCCTCAAAATAGTAAATACATACCTAAATATAGTCGTATCTTCTATCAAAAACAGAACAATATTTAAGACCCCTCTTTTCTCTTTCTATGTCAAGTAGCCTACCGCATTATGACTGTTAACGGGTGGATTATGACATCAGGCTATGACTGTGCGTGCACACCCCAGACCACAGATGAGACAGGTGTGTGTCAAAGAGAGAGATAGAGGGAGGGAGAGTAAGAGAGAGAAGATACGAGTCTACCATTGAAAACTGATATTGGCCATATTAGAAGAGAACTGAGGTAAAATTCCACTCCTAAACGAGAAAACAGCTGTTTGCCTATAAGGATCTGAATTTGAAACCTATAAAAGCCCAATAATAGGCTACTTTATGTTAAATTGTTTGTTTAACAATAAGTATTTTGCAATGATTTTTCCTCATGCATTGGTGTGCAACATGGTTCTCAGTTATGGTTAAACAGAGATGTACAGCTGGAGATCTCAATTCCTCAATATGCACATTCCTGCAAAGCTTTTGTTGTTTTCTATTGAAACTGAAGACCATGACTGGACAGTATTTGAATAGAGTTGTATCTCCAGTCACCAGGAGATGAACTCCAGCATTAATATTCTGATTAAATTATGGTGTAAAATTAGTGCATAAAATGTATTTGACTCACAATTCTGTTTCTACCCCTAAACCACATCATCTCTCATTAGGAAAACATAAGGCCATGATGAATAATTTCTTAACTAGTAATACCACAAGTAGGGACTAGTTACTGAGGTACGTTGCGTATATGGTCAGGTATAACAATTCATGATTCATCAATGATTTAAACGATATAACGTATAGACTAAATAATAATTTATCAACTATTCAAATAACAAGGACCGGCTGTGAATGGTATAAAGTAAACAGCGATTTTTTTTACAGAGTCTGCAAAAAAAAAAAAAAAAAAAAAAAACTACATTATCAAATGGCTGTGAAACTTTTAACGGCTGTGAAAACTGGGAAATTATGCAAAAGATACTTAAAGCAACCTATTGTGAATGCAGAATGTATTTAATTTTTTTATTTCTCTTTATGGTTTATTCTATCGATAGATATATGTCCATGTGAAAAAAGACTTGTAAATATCCACAACAAAGCAACAACCGCCAGTGTGGATATTAAGTATTTTTTGTGATAAAACGAAGCACTGTATCTATTGATAAATAAACCATAAAATAAAAAATAAATAAATTCTGCATTCACAATAAGGTTGCTTTAAGTATTTTTTGTATAATTTCCCAGTGGTCACTGGCTGAACAATAATAAACAATAACTAATTTCTTAGTCATATTATAATATCGATTTTGTTTTGCAGTCTCTTCTAAAAAATGATCACTGTTAGGCTATTGTTGCTTTTTTTAACTGTAAAGTCACTGCTCTGAAGTGTAAAGTCACTATCCATGTGGAAAGCTTTTGGGAACATACTTTATTTGCATGTCTATTATGAATGTTCATTTAAATACATGTAGTAAAAAAAAATATCCTTACATTAATTCATGACAGGTTACTCCAGAAACATCAGATTAACCAGGGGATTTTTTTTTTTTTTTTTTTTTTGCTTTGCTAGTGTTTTTTTTTTTTTTTTTTTTTTTTAATGCCAGATATTTATCAAAAAAAGACATAAAACATATTAAATTTATTTATTTCTCCCCACAGAGTATTCCAAGAGAGTATACCAAGGTGTCAGAGTCAAGCACACGGTCAAAGATCTTCTTGCAGAGAAGCGATTACGACAAACAAATGCGCCCCGATACAGTGTAAGCCATCATTCTCACTGTCTTGTTGTCTGATGTTCTTAAATATTAACTTGATCATCCCATATCCATAAGTGTTTTACTTTGTATTTTGTCTATACAGTATCAAAGAAATCATTGACAATATACAAACAAACAGAAGTATGAAGTGTAATATATCTCTCACACAGCAACAGTATTCAGAGCATCCATGCTAGTCATGTCCTTGTTACTTTTAAGAGATAAATATCAGGCACACCTGCCAAAATCAGATCTACCTTCCTGAAAGGGGACAGACAGGCATTGTTACAAGAGACGGTTAAACCCAAGCCTTAACCGAGTCATTACTGAGGGATTTGCTAACAAAATACAAAAGAACAGACAATCCTTGTGCTCAAGTGAACTCCTGCTGCAAGTTGTTGTCTGCTTTTGTGTCCTTTACTGAAACCAATGGACCAGTCGGTTCATGCAAATGCCTCAGACGGGGTGGTTGGCCTCAACATATCTCTGAACAATGGTCTAGCAAAGACATACCCATTACATATTCTACGAGTTAAATAAAAAGCACTGATAAAATATATGAATATAAACTATAAGAATTCCCTTTGTTGAAAAGGGCCTCTATGTATGGCATGTATTGACAGCAAGTCTCTAACAAAGAACGATATCCACTAAACAAATGAACTTAATTCCACTGTGTACTTCCGCGGCACGTCGCGGAGTCAACTGGGATATGATCCCAGTCATCCAATGATTTCTTTAGATCCTTGTGGCAAAATCTCATGAGAAGAGTACACACTCCACCGGAGGCAAGTGTACACACGGAGAGCAAGGGGGGGGGAGCACTGTTGTGACACTGGCAAATCATATTCAAATATCCTCCCGCATGATTTGCCTGGCTTTCAACAGAACAAGCTCTAAAACTTGAGCCTTCCTGTCTTTTTCTCCATATTCTCACTGGCTGCAAGTCAGGCAAAATACAAAGCAGCCCAATGGGGGGTTCTGCTTTTCTCTTTGCCTTTATATTGTAGGGGGATTCATGCGTTTTCATTACACGCTGTCTTCTTAAGTGAAGTTTACGAGAAACACACACACATAGACACAACTGTGTTAGTGTCAATGACAATGACTCTCTAACATTTTTGTTTTCAGACGAGCAGCAGTTCCTCTCAGCCAGCTTTTGTGCCAATGCCCGGTGAGTCCGTCTGGTAAAGCTAATCCACAGCTAGATCTAATTAGATATGTTCAGGTCTAACAGGTGTCCTCAGTGAGAGGCTAATTCATCTTGAATCATGGAGTTAACTGAATTTCCTGCTTCCTCTTGCAGGGTCACACGTGCTTCCTGGTTACTACAGCATGCGAAGATCCTTCCTCCCAGACTCAGACCTCTGCCATCCCATAAAGCAGTACTCATCACCAGACACTTACTCTTCAGCACTGGGAAGCAAGGCCTTTTCGTACGACCACCCCTCCACTTACCCTTCCTTCATTGACAGCTACTACACTCCTGATTCATATGGAGATTACAGAGGGCCAGCGTCTTATACCACCAGCGGAGGGTCACTGTTTCCACCATCTACACTACCAACACTACTACCAACTCTGTCTGGTGGAGAGTCTTCGTCACACTTGCTCTTGGTATTCACACTTCCTACAGATGATATTATTTGGGTCATTGATGTATAAGTGTGTCCATGATAAAGAAAAACACAAATTTTACTCCTTTAGATAAGAACACAATTCTTAGAAATGTTCAAGTTGGTTTCATGTGGTTTTAAAAAACGTTTATAGCATTTTCAATAAAAGTTTTAATTCAGTAACTCTATAAACGTCCATCAAGTCAAAAGCAAAAACATTATTATCAAGCTAATTATAAATACATTTTTCATGGAATTTTTTTTTTATATATATATATCATGAATTTAATAATTAATCTGTAAATATCATTCATGAATATCATACATTTTGGGTGAAGATTTGGATCAGTATGATTAAAAAAGAATAATACTTTTATTCAGCAAGGACATTAAATTGACCAAAAACATTTATAATGTTACAAGAGATTTATATTTCTAATAACTGCTTTTCTTTTGAACATTATGTTAATCAGGATTTCCACAAAAATGCTAAGCAGTACAACCATTTTCAACCTTGATAGTGATAAGAAATGTTTCTTGAGCAGCAAAATCAGCATATTAGAATGATTTCTGAACGATCATGTGATACTGAAGACTGGAGTAATGATGCTGAAAATTAAGCTTTGATATTACAGGAATAAATTGCATTTTAAAATGTATTGCAATAGAAAAGATATTTTAAATTGTAATAATATTTCACAATATTAAAGATTTTACTGTATTTTTTATCAAATAAACGCAGCCATGGTGAGAATAAGAGACTTCTTTCACAACATTGAAATATCTCAAACTTCAAACTTTTAAACAGTAGTGTACAACCTGACATAATAATTGCCGTGTCATAAAAAGAGCGACTTTAAAAAAGGTTGTACAACATGATTTTGTGGACAAACGGTTATTTTATTATTAATAAAAATAAAATTAAAAAAGATTATGCCAAACTACTTAAGTTTTTTTCAAGCAATTTATTCTTTTAATTAGACTTTTCTTCTTCATTATGATATCACCCTGACATTTTCGACACACACACACAAATATATATATCAAAATTAATTTTAATACAGAAATGTATTTTTGAAAGATTAACATAGGACAAAAAAAAAAAACGAGTGTCACGTCATTGTCCCATTTTCTAACCATAATAATGAAAAGATGAATAAGCAATGTTGTTGTTTTTCAATAAGGAGTTGCATTATTTGTTTGTTTTACTGAATTTATTGTTTTGTATCATGTCTGTGTTTCTCTATTTTGTCTCCATTTCCTGTTTTTGTGGCACTTTGGGAATGTGAAAAGTGCATTATAAATAAAATTAATTGTAATAATTATTTCTCTATGCTGCAGAGAGACCCTTGGGATCAGCCATCAGAGGACCCAGTCAGTCAGTCAGAAGTCATATGTCCTGAGGGTCCAGTCCCCGTGGCAGAATCACCATCTCTGGGAGGGCCTGACTCTGGCGGTTCCTCCCCATACCGTCTATCCTCGGGGCGCAGCGGGAGCTCCATCCCATCCAGCTCTCAGCCTTATACTCTACAACCCCTGGAAGATGTCCCGTACCCAGCAGCATCCTACACCTCTGCCTCCAGCTACTCCTGCCCACCGTACATGGTGACACCTGGAGATCTGGCCGTGGTGAAGATGACAGCCGTAACCTCAGAGGAGACTAGTGGTGGAGTGGTGTCTCTCAGTGACACTACATCATGGGCTAAAGATGATGGAACTGGCTCCTGGTTGTCATATGAGACTAGGAGGGCTTTTTGAAAGGCTTAAATGACAATACAGAAACTGTGGACTAATCATTTGCACTTACACAGCCTCTCTAATCTTATACAGAAGGAGATTATATAACTTACATCCATCATAAAGATGACCTCCTCAAGAAATGATGATCACAATTTTTAAACTGGTCATATTGCGTAAGCATACAACAAAAACATGGGCTGATAGTTTAGTTAATTCAGGATTTAATTATGCATTTTACATGTCCAAGCGTTTTAGAATGAATTAGAAGCAATGCTCGCTTTTTTCCCTCTTTCCTACATGTATAATTCGCCAATAATACCAATGAACACTTAAAGACAACGATGTTAGACTTTTGTCAGGAATGCCATTATATAAAAATAAACATGTTTTGGCTTAAAGAAGGTGTGTTGTATTTACAGAATAGAACAGAACAGCTTTTCTAAGGAACTTACCTCTCGACATGAGTACTGTAGTTAGGACGCCACTGCGTTGTTAAGTTAAGGCCCCCTTAGTGACAGGAGTGAATGAGGACACGAACACATCGCCTGTTCAAATTCCTCCCCCTTCGTTTAATTTATCTGTTATAACTTATAAGTCATGCATTTTTCAAGCAATTTAACTATCCCGCTAATAAACAAAATACGAATGTACAGTCAAAAATATACTAGTCAAAATAAGTTATTTAAATTTGCACTAACTTTTATAAGGGCTTCTATTTGTGAGCCACCACGTTGCTAGGCGCTTTTTGTTTTTGTTCTTCTGGAGAGCAGCGCACGTCAAACTTTCGGAAGTTTATTCTTGATGTATCATGTAACCATATTTCTTTTCAGAGACCATTTTTTGATTACAATTACTTGTACTAGTTATAAAGTCAACATTATTCACGGGAGTATGAATCGATTATACTAGGCGTTGTTTCGCAGTTGCCGTAAGGATCAAATGACAAAGTCCATCTAATAAAAACCGTGCTGTAGCTAAGCCTAGTTTGTCCGTGTCGCAAGTCTGTCTTGCTTTCCTTATACTGCAACTCTTACAGTTGCAAAAACAAGCCACGAGGAGAAAACTGCCTAAATGATATGCTTACGTGCGTTGTACTGAGTTTTTACTAGCCTACCTGAAAAGTCTCCGGACTCTTCCTCGTGGTCAAGGCTTCATCGCTGATGATGGATCAGTATCATATTTTGGAGGTTATCGGGGAAGGGTCATTCGGGCGAGTGTACAAAGGCCGCAGGAAGTTTAGCGGCCAGGTGAGCACTACATGTGCACCGCGGTGTCAGAAAATCCTATTCTTTACCCCCCTGGAATTGATTTTAGGGATATGTATACGAGGCCATATATATTTTCTTACCATATAATAACACAGCATTTCCTATATTTAAGTTAAAACTCAGTCTGAACAGTAGAGAGAAAATAAAACCTTAAAACACCAGTCAGCCGATCAGAATCAAGCATTTTATGATATAAATGTGAATAATTTGCTGGTCACTTTGATGGATTATTCAGTTCTGTGTCTACCTTACAGCAAATTGTGATATAATCTGGATGTTTTCATAATTGTCTGTGCTAAAAAAGAAAATAAAAATCCATCAAAAAACATGTCATATTAGCCACACATTCAAAAACCCTCACCTCCAAGACATTAAATACAAAGAAAACAACAAATATAATCTAAACAGACTTTATTGAAGACAGAATCCCTCTCTGTCTGAGTAACATCAACACTTTTTTTCCTAGGTCGTGGCTCTGAAGTTCATTCCCAAAGTTGGCCGCTCAGAGAAGGACCTGCGCAGTTTGAAAAGAGAGATTGACATCATGAGGGGGCTTAAGCATCCCAACATAGTGCTGCTTTTAGACAGCTTTGAGACAGAGAGGGAGGTATGACTGTCACAACCTACTCCCAAGTCATGCTGTGTTTTTCACTGTTCCTACAGTATAACCTGGTGCTTCCAGTGTAACGGCTTGTTGAATGAAATTTAGCTCCCAGGGTTCACAAATTTAACATTCAAATTTCTAGGTAATAGTTCTCGTTGGCAAAGTGTAGAAATTTTTTAAATATTAAGATACTGGTGTGGGTACAAAAGCAGTGAGCTTGTGACTTTGATCGTCCCATAACCTGTGTAAAAGAAAAAAGGATCAGTGAGAAGAAGAAAAACAGGGCTGAATTTGTGTCAGAGGAATAAAACATGGCTGAATTTGTGTCAGAGGAATAATTAGAGCATGTATTCCTCTGACAGGTGGTGGTGGTGACAGAGTATGCAGAGGGTGAGCTGTTTCAAATCCTGGAGGATGATGGCAGTTTACCTGAAAATCAGGTACATCAGTAGTCACACTGTTTTATTGTAACCGCCAACTCAACGTATTAGATAATGAATGTATCATACTGGTGTATGAAGCTAGAACTATCTAAGACCTGGGGGCCGGTTTCACAAAGCTATTTTAGACCGGTCTATAGTGTTAGACAAGTCTAAAATTTGCTCATAGACTAGTCTAATGCAAGTTAGACTGTTTCACAAAAATAAAGACTGACTTTAAAAAAAAAAATTAGACACCTGTGCCCGGTTGCATAAAGTACCTTAAGTTTTTCCCTTAAGTATGATACTTAAGGGGCGATTTACCCTTACCTAAGAGAACAACTTAAGAGTGTTGCATATAATCTCTTAAACGGTTCTCTTAGGTAAGGGAAACATTTAAGTGTTTCACGACAGCGATCCTGGATTCACGTTATAAAAGTCTGTTGTTGCCATAGATACGCAAAACACTAACATGTCGGAATATCACGTGTCAGTCCAGTGACGCTATCATGCAACACCGCGTTAGCTCCGAACGTGGCGGCAGTTTGTGTTGTTCACCGTCTCATGCTTTGGCATTTGTTTAGGTTTTGTGAATGCACTTCTGGCTCTGTGTCTCGAAATACAGCTGAGTATATTTCCATAGCATACCTGTTTTCTTCTGTCATGATTCCTTTTAAAACACAGAATCAGCTCGTTCTCCTGTGATTTTTTTGTCGGCCACACACTCTCCGTGCGCGCACTGACTTAACGTTGTGATAGTTTACATGCGAGTCGCGTGTAATGACAGACAGACAGCCGTCTAGTTTGATAGCGATGTCAAATATTGCGCGTCGATCAAATCGGTATTCTTGCAACAGTTTTTCATGGCTAAATTGGTCCAAAGGGTTCTCCCTATTCCCTATGATCTTCAGCTGGTTTCATAAATTCAGCCATGTCGTCTTATTTTTGTCCGCGTTACTCTTAAGGTTACGATTTCCAAACCTTAAGTTATACTTAGGGAAATTACCGTTAAGGGGTTTTATGCAACACTTAACGATTACTTAAGTGAAAAAACAGCATTTAAGGGAAGTTCTAAGTGTTTATGACGTTTCACTTAAAAAACCTGTTAAGTAACACTTAAGGGTATTTTTCTGCAACACCCTTAGGTTTAAGGGAAACATAAGGGCGACTTTAAGGGAAAATTACACTTAAGGTGCTTTATGCAACCGGGCACTTACCCCCAGGCTAACTTAGGTCTAAGACTCTATGTTACCTTGGCAACCAGCAGTAACAATCAGTTACATTACAAACAGCCAAAAGAAAAGGGAAAATGGCCCTTTCCAAATTTAACATTTCTTCTTGTTACTACATTCTCCGCTAAATCTCCCAAGTAAAATGTCCTTGTGACTGTTATACTCCTCCAACAAACACATATTTTCCGCTGGGGTAAACTGCACTGAGCTGTTGAATGCGCTTACTCGATCCGCCATGTTTTTTGTTTTGAAAAGTGTCTTATTTTACCCAGAATGCATTGCAGTGTAGTCCTACTTAAGATTGTCAGAGTCTTAAGTGCTTTGTGCAACAGTCTGATTTAGATGTCTATCTGAAGTCTGACTATCTACTATATCTAAGCCATAGTCAAAGTCTATCTTTGTGAAACCGGCCCCTGGTTTACATTTAAATCTTTCTAGACTTTAAAAGCTAATAATATCATCAGTGATCAATATAAGAAATTTAAGTATGTCATACAAATTAGAATAAACATTGTATGTAGCCTAAGGTAAATGTATTTTTGGAAAATGCATACCGTTTATCATATAGTTCATCACTTTTATTTCTTTGACTTGATGTTGTGCTGGATTTTCTGCTGCTCAGACCTCTTAACTGGGACACACTCACCTGCTAACCTGTTATCTTACTTGTGTAGGTGTGTGAAATAGCCTGCCAGCTTGTTTCTGCCCTGTATTATCTGCACTCCCATCGTATTTTGCACCGTGACATGAAACCACAAAACATCCTGCTGGGAAAAGGAGGAGTAGTAAAGCTCTGTGACTTTGGGTTAGTATTGCCAATTGGTAGTTCAAACTACTTTAGAAACTGTATATATATATATATATATATATATATATATATATATATACAGTCAAGCCAACATTTATTCAGACACCTTTAACATTTCTCATGTTATCAACATGTTATCACAGTTGATATTTTACTGTGTTTTGGCCATCCTTCTGTTAGACTGTCTCACAAATGAATTAGGTTGAATAGCTGTCAGTTGTCAGCTGTTAAATTTAAGTACACAATTAGATAAAACCAATTTAGGTCAACCAATTACCAAGCAATGCTTAATTTTGTTAATTCTGTGGTGTAAAAAGGTCGCATTGGCAATTATAGAAAAAACACTTTAGCAAAACATGGTCAGGTCAAAGTGTCTGAATAATTTTTGGTCCCAAATCTTTATAAATTTTACTGGTAGTCCACTGTATGAAGAATTTTTGGGTATAAAATGTCACATAAATGAACTATAGTGTCCTGTACCCACTAGTATAAAAAATATTTAAAAAAAATATATATCTGTTGTCTGAATAATTTTTGGTTTGACTATATATATATATATATATAAATATATTCATCTTAATGTGATCTCTAATAGCATAATGGTGTCATATTCTCGTGACTCTTCACAGATTTGCTCGTGCCATGAGTGTGTCCACCTTGGTGTTGACCTCTATTAAGGGGACGCCTCTCTACATGTCTCCAGAATTAGTGGAAGAGAAACCTTATGACCACTCCGCTGACCTTTGGTCTCTGGGCTGCATCCTCTATGAGCTCCACACGGGGGCGCCTCCGTTCTACACCAACTCCATCTTTCAGCTGGTGCAGCTTATAGTGAGAGATCCAGTCAAATGGCCAGAGAACATGAGCCAAGACTGCTTGGTACGGAGTAGTTACTTCCCACATGAAAACCCCTGACTCTGACTTTTAAATCAAATTAGTCTGATTTTGATTAAGTGTTTGACACACAGATAAAAAAAAGTGTTGCTTTATGTCAGTATGCACTGGTTAAATAGTACCAAGTTTAAAACCCTTCTTTTCAATTGCTCTTTCTGTGGGTTCTCTTAATTTAGAGTTTTCTGAAGGGGTTGTTGATGAAAGACCCAGAGAAGAGGCTGTCATGGCCTGACCTGCTTCGTCACCCTTTTGTTGCAGATGGAGTTTTAAGTGAGGACTACTTACATTTTTATCATCCTATGAAATGGTATTTTCTTTGTACACATATCTGCAAAGTTAAATAATTAAAAAAAAAATGTTTTAATTATAGTAATAATGTATTAGAATGAAAATATGTTATTGTTATTGTTACTAAAAGGGTGCCTTGTGCTGCTCATTGCTTTAACAGTGGTGTCAGATGAGGGTTCGAGCAACCCCCTTACAGTCCCACCCAGCCCAGACCGACAGGCCCTGAAACACCAGCAGGCTGCAGAGAAGACGACAGCACGCAATGGAGAGGGCAAACTACTGCGCAAAGCTAGAGAGCTTCGAGAGAAAGAGAAGACTAACAAACGGGTAAACTCATGCTAACAACTAAGACGTTTTCTTCGTTTTCTGTGTTACGAGGTTATGAATCTGTCTTTTAGATGTCTTCCTGTCTGGTTTGTTTTATTTTTGCAGTAAGATGAACTTTATTTAAATTGTTGTTGGTGTGATTTGTGAAAATTCGACTATTTACATTATTATGGAATATGGGGAAAATGTGGAATCAGCTGAGAAGGGCTTTCAAAGTATTCATTTCTGTGGAAGGGGAAATAATACAATTGTGTTGGATGTTGTTTTACTAGAGTCAGACACGCTGTAAAACAGCTTCTGCTGGAGGAGCCCCCACCACTGGCCACTCATTGGGCAGCACCTTTTCAGTGTATCAAAATTCATCTCACCCAGGAACCAATCAGCATCAAGCAAATGACAACAGTGTTACCAGGTAGTATTCCCATCTAGAATTTGAATTTGAAAACCTGCGGGCCTCAACTTAAAAAAAGGGCATATTAACAATGCTGCTGTGACAGTGAAATTGATGTTTTTGACCAGCGTGAAGGAATGAATATATTATAAATCCAAATGTAGAGAAGAGAAATAGTCGAAAAGCCTGTTTAATCCAAGGGTAAAAGATATGGTGAGGAATCAGATTTTTCAAATATAAATTGTTCCCGTGTTCCCTTTTGTTTTTAGGGTTCGCTCAGCTCCACACAAAGGCCAGATCAGTAGAGACTACGAGAGGGAGTTCCCTTCTGTAGAGGTGGGACCCCGGCAAGTTATGAAGCGGCCTGGGCCTGGACATGTGCGGACCAGTCTGGCTTCTGTCAGGATGGACAGTGAGGTTGTTATTTGAATCATTTAAAATTATATTGTGGATTTAGTTGGAGCACACTACTAATGTCAGATCCGTCACACAAGGTTTTTCCACTAAATATGTTCTGCAGGAACAAGATATCGACAGTGATTCTGAGTGGCAACAATTGATTGAATTAAGTGATCAGGGCCCTGTGAACACCTCTATCCTTCCGAGGTTAAAAACAAAACTGCTCTTAGCCAAAAAACAGGTAACGTTCTGTTAAATGTCACAAGAGCAGCTATTTGAACTGGGTAAGTGAGTGATTTAGTGTATTAAAGACTCACTGATCTGTCTAGCTATTGGTCAGGAAAGGTGAAGAGGCCTCTTCAATTCTACAGCCACTAAAGATCCTCAGGAACATTGTTCAGAGCTGTCAGTCCGGGGATGTTGAAACAGTGAGCAAGGAGTTGGAACTGCCTCATCTACTGTTCAGCCTGATTGAGGACATCCTGAACATTCCAGATCTAATGCAGGTCAGACACAAAAATGAATATGTATCTTCTATTCATCTGATTATTGTTTTAAACATATATTTTAATAATATTTTATTTGTTGTTTTAAACGATTTTATTTATTTATTTGTAAATGGAAATGGAAATTTCTTCTTTTAATAGTTTCATTAATCATACTTGATTTCTGACTGATTATTATTTGCTAAAGGAATCCCAGGGTGAGATAATATTAGAAGATCTGATGAGTGTTCTCATAATGTACCTGGAAAAGAGCCCGGGCTGGGAGATAAAGGGCAGGAGGTACGGATTTATGAATCGTTTTTAATGTACAGAGTTACAGTACAGTTTTTTTCTCTCCACTGAAATTGTTTTTACTTTCATTACTTCAGTAAATTTATTGTTCCTTTTTTAAAATGAAAGAATATTTAGTGTTAATTGCAGAACTCTTTGTTAGGCTGTCGTTATCTCTACTGCTGCTGGGCTTTTAGTGAAATTTTAATCTTAGTGTTATTTTATGAAAAATATTTTTTTTCTCATCAGAGCTGAGGATCTCTGTCAGCTATTTATTTCGGTATTTCTCTGTCGTGTCCAGAAGCATTCAGCGGTAAGTGCCTCTATATGAACGATTTTCTCCCTAGTTTGTGTCAAATGCAATTTTAATCTGGAAAAATGAAGTACAGTAATTGTAGCATGTCTGGTTTCATTTGCATTACGCTTGTGATTTTGTGGTCTCTCCTACAGCTTTTGGCAACAGCAGTCTTAACCTTGTTCACTCACCGTGGTATAGCTGTGAATGTTGGTATAGAAAGGCTTACAAGCTTTTTGGGGAATATTTTGACAGACACGGCAGAGGTATAGTTCCATTATTTACACTGTGAATAAGGGTTAACCCTGTTTGGAGTAATTCATGTCATTGATGTGATGAAATCCAGTGTAGTCATTCCCCACTCTTTCTCTCTTTCTTTCTTTTCCTCTCCCCCTCCCACCATCTGTCTGTTCTCTCTTTTTCTTTCGCATAGGCACACAACCCCTTACCTGCAGGTTGGGGAACATGTGACGGCCTTCTGTCACTGATTCTCCACAGACTGTCCGAGGTAATTCCTCTCACATTAATTCCCCTAAAATCTGTGCTGTGTTAATTAGAGATAGACCAATAATCGGTTTGACTGAATAATTGCTTTTCAATAGTTTAATATTGGATCTATAATAAATAACACCATTTGAAGTCTCTTAGGAGCAGCACCCATTAACGGTATTTACAGATAAAGAAGCTAATGTATTACTTAACTTTTTTTATATTATTATAATATTACATAAATATAACAGAATGTGATTGTCATTGATAAGTACTAATATCACATATTGTCCTATTTGTTATTGTTGTAATGTAATGATCATTGAATTATTATTAGTTATTTAGTTAAGCCAGAAATAAATCAACAATTAAAACCAGTTTGGCATATTGTTTATGGGACTCTAAAAAAATTACTATTGGTCATATGTGTTAATGTCTAAATGATATGCAAGTAGGGACACATTTTTTCTTCCATATTGTGACATACATCCGAGTGTAGTGGATTAAAGAAGAAAAAATTTAGGGAGGGGACTTGGTTCTTTCCATCGATTGTTTATTTTGAGATGTGGGCATTGTACTCGAAAATGAAAGCGAGTTTACTGTCGATTGCGGAGGGGCATATGTTACCACAAAGAAAATCGAGTTATGAGATTTTGGTTACAAGGTCGAAATTAAAAAAGAAAAATGAAACGCATCCTCAGAATCATGATCCATAATATGCATTTACAAAATAGATGAATTTTAGGGTGAAAAAGGTGAATTTTCCGGATAAAGAAATAAAATGATTTATTTTTCCTTCACTGATGAAAGAGTGAAAGCAGCTCACTGCTCGACTTTCAGGACTCAGAGCTTTGGCCCTGCTTGTGGGCTAAAGTGAACACCACACTGGAAAACACAACATCCCAGAGATGCCATTTCTCTCCTAATGGTACTGAACACCAAGAGAACATTCACTTATTTCTTTATTGTAGCTTTAATATACCAGTAATTTAATAACATACATTTGCGTCTGTTTTTCTCACAGGTCTGTATGTGTTCCTCTCTCTCGCTTTATTGGTTTTCTCCAGCGATCCATACAACTGTGTGGCTCTCCTGTCAGATAACTCCTGCTCTTCTGCCCTCAGCCACCTTCTCACCACCAGTTGGTGAGCACCAAACATCACCTTAAAGCCTTACTATGGTGTCAAACAGTTTCTTTTTTTAATATTAGTGCTCATTTGAAGTGCATCTCTCAGTAGTTTAAAGTATATTTCTCATTTTATTCCTCACAGCAGCGCTGCATTGCTTGAGCACGGTCTTTTCTGGGGTGACTCAGAAATAAACAGCATATCAGTGATGAGCTGTCATCTTCTCTGCATCCCCTTCTCTTTGGAGTTATCCTTAGAAAAACTTCTGTCTGTTCTCCGATCGTATCAAAGCGCAAATATTGTGGCCGGTCTAGTGCAGGTATGGTTTAAAAAAATACTAGTATTTTCAGATGGCGGATGTCTATTGGAATATCGGAAATGGAATTTTTGTATTTATTATTTTTCTGCTGACTTGTCTTCTTGTTCAGATGATTCAAACTCTTCCCGTTGCCCTGGTGGAGCTTCCGCTGTGTCTTCTGAATCGTCTACTGCTATCTGACCCACAGCACACCGCTCCATGCCTTATCACTGCAGCCCAGGCCTCCGCTTTCCTCCCTCACAGCACAGAAAGCCCAGACAATGGAGCAGACCACACTCAGTATCAACTTAACCACTTCGGGAATGGTGTGGAGCAATTTAAGAGCAATAGAATTGCAAAGAAAACCAAGATGGATCAAATCAAAGGTGACATCAATTCGAAGAAGAGCTTACCGCGGCTCAAAGGCTATGTAGATGCATCTAAGGAAAAAAATGATTCCCTAAAGGCTCAACACCAGCCATCCAAAAGCAAGACTGAAAAGTTCAGGGAGGTGCAACCAAAAACCAAAATATATCCGCAGAAGACCATGGAACATCTAAGAGAGAAAATCAAGCAGCAGAGCGGTTGTAAAGAGGAGCTCATGGACAGTTTGGAGATCCATGGCAGTTCTGCAGGACGTCTCCAAGATCTCTCAGCTCAGCAAGGGTGCAGCATCAGCTGGCTTATGGACAGTCTGGAGGAGTTAAGGAGAAGTGGCGATCACCCCAAGGTCTCCACGGCTAAAATTCGATCCTCACCAGAAGAGGTCAGAACAGCAAGTTCTCTGTTGGCTGTGCTGCTACAAAGTGAAGTTCTCTGTGGGTGTGCAGTGGAACTTCTTATCCTTCTCTCCCAACTAACACTTCATCTCACCCATCAATCTTCCTTCTTTATTCCCGTAAAAATCACCCAACTTCAGCTTGCGTTGCGCCACCAAGATGATGGAATCCGAGCCGCATGCTGTGGCTTGCTGGGCCGCCTGGGCTCAGGTGTCCGGCAGGTCATTAATGAATCAAAGTTTGACCTATTCCTGGACCTGTTAGGTTGCCTGTGCGATCCTGCTTCATCCGTTCGTAGGACGGCCTCCAAGGCGGTGGGAAACTGGCTAAGTGTAACGGGAAGCGATCTAAATATTTCCAGTAAAGGTTTCAAGAATACAACTGACATAAATGCCTTGTCGGCACAAGACAAATCAAGGAGGACACCAGCAATGGAAGGCGTCAGACATAGTGAGGAAGACGTATGGATGGAGCTCATCATAGGAGCCGCCCCTCCCCTCGTGTCACTGCTGTCAGATGCTGATAATGTCATTCGACAGCACTGCTGTGGGGCCTTGGGTAACCTGGCTGCTTTCAGCGGAGGGGATGGAGCACTTCTTAATGTAGATGCTCCAGGCTTGATTCTCCAAACTGCCTGTAATGATTCCCATCATGCAGTGCGACGGGCAGCTCTGGCCACTCTGCGTGTGTTTAGCCAACAAAACACATTGCTACAGGTAAGAGCAGTGTGAATCGGTTTTGACTAACACATTTAGATGTTTTCTATACCCTCCAAGAGAATTAAGAGAGTAATGGGATTCATTGCACTCCTGTATAGTCAGACAAAGAGTTCAGTTCTTGTTGAATTGTATTTAAACACTGAAGCAAAATTAATATAGAGCTGCTTGTGTGCTGTATTGCATCATTTTGACAATTGTGCAAAAAAAATTGAAAGACAGACAAAGCTGGTTGGGGAAAAAATCCTTACTGTCATTTTCACATTTTCTCCTTCCCTTCCTCAAGGCTCTGAGGTCTCTAGATGCAGGAAGAAAACTCTGTCGCACATCCCAAAGCTCTTTATTTCAGAGGGATTATCAATGGCTTGTCAGCAAGTTGGACGGGTCAGTTGAAGGAAAAACATAAATGTCAGCCTCATAGTTTGTGTGTAAGAGAGAGGATGTAATTTCACATTATCTAAAAATGGGTTGCTGGCTGCTTCTGTGGCTGGGATAGCTTTCTTTTTGTCTGTATTTATTTGATCTGTGATCAAAAGATTTTGACGGAATTTGAATCTGTTATGTATTTTGAGAAAATGGCAGTGACTCAGAAACACCTTCAAAATAAATTAAAATGTATTTAAAATATAAGGGTTTTTTATTATTATTCAGCAAATGTTTGCATTTTTGATTCACATAGCCTACGTTATTTAAAAATGTTGCGATGGTGATTGTTTGGTCTTTTTTTTCTGTTTATAATAACAAAACTTAACTTCCATTTTTATGTTTACTAATTTGCCAGCCTTACTTGTATTTATTATTTCAAACTGTTTTATATAAATTTACCTCAGCTCAAAGTTAATTGTCTGTATCGAAAATCCGATATATATTTCGGGCTATCGAAAGGCTATCCAAATGTAATCTGTACGGGGGAAATATTGTGAAATCCATTTAGTCAGCTTAAATGAATAAATTGATAGAATTTCCTAAAATTGTGTCCGTCTTGTCTGTTTTATGTGTGATTTTTAGTTTAGTTTTTTTTTTTGTTAGTTTTTTTGTCTTCACTGGATAGGTCTCACCATGTCAAAATTTGTTTTGTTTTCAAGATGGCTATTTTATCGGAGATTTATCTGAGACGACTTGAAACTTTTTCACTCTTCATACGTGTTTGTCACAAGAAAAGCCTTTTGACTCGTAAAAAAACCTGTTTCCAGTAATTTCCAGTATCCTGACCATATATATATATATATATATATATATATATATATATAGCCTATATTGTTTGTTTTTTTGATGCACACAAATACAAAAGTAACTTACCAGTGAAAAATCAGGCTGTTTGACAGGCGTGAGAAAAGACAACGAACACTAGAGTAAAATATTAAATAGCGCGCAGATTTGTTTTGATTAACCTAACTTACCCGTTGTAAGAACACTTAAAAAAAATTGAATAAATTTAATTAGGCTATTTTTTTATATTGTGTGATTATTTAAATGCTTGTTTAGGCTACTTTAATTTAGTAGCCTAGCTATCGGATGATTTGTGATCGATGTGATTTTATTTGGAGAGATATTGAACAATAAACGAGACTGATCGGTGTTCAGAAACTATAGCCTACATTTCCTGTGAACCGTATAGCCTACCCGTTAAAACGGATATTACATAAATATTAATTAATTGCGCTACACAGAAATAAGACTTTTGACGGGACGAACAAATATGATTTCCCTATTTTCTGCTCTTTGTACATTTGGTTCTGTCGGGGTTTTATAATAATAATTATTCAATAAAAAACCTGGGTGTTTAGGACTTTCGGGATACAAAAGGCAGGAGTGAACACTACGGTTAATAATAAAAATAAAAAAGTAAATATTTTAGACATCCTATGTTGCTATTAGAATTGTACTAGGCTATTTTTTTCTCCTTCTCTCTCTCTTACTCTCACACACACACACACACACAAGTAACTGACACTGTCTATGAGTTTTCTATGTCATTTGAGTTTCTTTTCCCTCCACATCGTGCATTAGTGAGGCTATGGGAATAGCTCTACTCCATGGTTTGCAGAGCTGTTAACAATTTTCCGGCCAAACAAGGGATCAACTCCGTTTATCCGTTAAACTCAAGATCTACATATTAAGCTCTAAAAAATCTCTTATGAAGCCATCATCGCCAACATGCAAAGTTGCTGACATAAATCACTTTATTTGAATTCAATGGAATAACAGGAAACACAAAGAATTAATCGGAGACGATACATCGAAATGCCTGGTACAAAATGACTAGTCTTAGTATTATAGCTGGTGTAAACTCTTGGAAATCTTGTGCCTTAATTTTGGGTTGTAAAAAAAATCTCAACTTCACAAAATGACCGTATAACACAGCGCATAATTAGCTATATTTCATAAACATGATTGTATACCGCCAAGGAAAGCATATTTCGATATGCTATGCTCTCTCAGTATCTAGGTTGCTTAGAGGACTTAAATGATATTTGTAATATTGCTACTTAGTATTAAGGTACACACGACACTTCGGTAAAAATGCCCTCAAAGGAATAAATAGGAAGAATAAAGAGTAACTAATCAAAGCCTGATTTGCAGTTGATTTCTTTTCGTTATTGTTGTAATTATGATAAATGCATGTCTCCTATTTGAGCAAGTAGAAAATCAGTCCCTAAACAGGTTTACCAGAATAAACTCCTGAAATTGACTAAATTGTAAACATGAAAATCATAACATTTGTCAAGGATTGTGTATGATCGCAATTGCAAAAAATTCATAACTTGAGTCATTTACATTGTTGATGAAATATTGCTAAGACGCTGGGAAGTCTGCAATTCTAACGCCACCACAATCATTTCAGTGATTATATAAAAAAAAAAGCTGTATCACTACAAAGATTTTACTTTCTGTCCCCCAACACACACTTGTACATTAGAGCAAACAAGCTTTATAAAAATCACAAACCCTGATTGTAGTCGCAATAACAGCAGAGACATTGAGCCAAACAGTAGTTTGTGAATCAAATGCAACTCATTCATCTCTAATGAAATGTGTTAGCCAAGAGAATATAAAATTGGGCTTCTTAAGCAAGAAAGACTTTTGCAGTAACATGTCATTCAGATGAAAGAAAAACAAACGTTCTTTGTAAAGAGCCATGAAATCTTCTGCATGCAAGAATCAAAATACAAGAAATCAACACACATAACATTATTAGGCAGTGCCATATCTTCAGCAGTTACAAACTGACATACCTCCATGACTTTGGACATAAATCGTATATACCTGAGCTGCAGGACTAATCTAAAATTGGGAATTCAAAAACACATCTTCAGGTTCATTATTCCTGAGGGAAATTCGTTTTGATAAGTGCTTCCCCTGAAACTCAATATATAAGAAACAGATTGCTTTTAATATCAGTGCTCATTCCTTATTTAATATACGGAAAAAAAGGATAATATAAAGGAAAAAAAGGAACTACCAATGTTGTACTAATTGTGCATCATTAGTATAGTACCATAAATGTTGAAACTGCTAATAAATACATTTAACAAAAAAACTCTGTATAAATTAAGATCAATGCAGGTCATATGCGGAACTTGTGATATTACCTTACAGCCTTTTCTAAATAAATGAAGATGCGTTCAAGTCTATCTTGCGTTATTCTGTGTTTATTTCTGTCAATCGTAAATGCTCTGTTGTTAAAGCTCATTCATGAAACCGAGAGGATGAGTCGTCTAGCCACTCTTGAGAAAAGCAAGAGAAAAGAAAAAACGGCTGTCATTACAGTCAAAGACATAATCACAGTGCATATTAACTGATTTGGAGTTATTTCTGAGAAAGTGGATGTCTATGCTGCAGCTGTTAATGGACTTTGTCAGTTTGTAACGAAAATGAAATGATTGAGTAACGTGCAATAGTACAACCTCCACCACATCCTAAAAACATTCAGTCAGAAAACATTCCAACTCAAATCTCCATTGCCTATCAGACTGCTTACAATTCTACTTGCAGGACCATCGTCAGGTGGTCGAGCTTTTGGTCAGGCGCTGGTTTCCTGCTTGAGGCGTTGGCTGCGGGCCTTGTACACCTCAATCAGGAGGTCTTTCACGTACTGGATCTCCCGTTCCACCGATTCTGCCTTGTCCCGTAGCTCACGGTTTCTACCCTCCAGACCATGAAGCTGTTCCTCCAACGTGTCCAACTCTGCTCGCTTCCTTTGACGATACCTGTTCAAAATGATTAATACAGAGGAAAGTCAGAAATTGTCACACTTTTCCTGTTTACTTACATACGTAATTGTGGGCTTTTTTTAAATCCCACAAGCAGCTACATTGTAATGTTCGCAGGCATTGTAGTCTGAAGCATAATACAATTCTGTTAAGGATTTTGTACTTTCACAACTAAGTGTCACTTCAAAAAGCCACCAACTTTTCTATATTTGCTCATGTAGAATACATTTGAGATCATTATGACTGAAAATACTATACCTGTGAGCTGCAGTCTTGTTCTGGTCTCTCTTCTTCTGTTTGCGTTGACCGTGGTTCCCTTCGATTAGTGGCTCCTCAAGGTCTGGTTTCACAATGCAGGGGTCGTCTTTCAGCACACAGACTCCTCTGGCACACGGGGACCCCATTTCAGGTCCGTGGCGGTCACCGCTCAGGCAGTCGGGGCCTTGGCCTTCAAGAAAGCTGCAGTGGAAGTTATGTTGCCGGTGAATCTCTACGCTCTCCGCCTTTACTGGGTCACTGATGGCCCCGAGGAAGCTGTGGTAGGCCTCTTCTTGGGATGTACTTTGGATGAAAGAGCTTTCATTGGGTTCGGACTTCCAGGGGATGTCGGCCTTCTCGTCGCTAGCACCATTCTTCACTTCGCCCATCATCTCCATCTCTGCGCTTCCTCCTATGCCGCTTAAATTGACTTCTCTGACACCATACATCATCATTTCGTCTTTCTTGTGGGGAATTTGAACGGGTCCGCTAAAGTTGTACCCGCCGCCACCGGCTTTGCTCGCACCGCCGGCCTCTTCCGTGTAGCGGCAGTTCTTCTCCTCTTTGGGTAAAATGGCGCACCTCCTGATCTCCACTGCACTGCCTAGGCAGTAGCCTTTGCCTACCACCCGTTCATCTTCCGCACAGCTGTAGCTCCCACCAGGCGCAACAGCTGAGTTACCTGAGGAATTTCCTTTGGAACTCCAGATGCTACTCTCGTAGCTGTCACCCACCCTCACCCCATCGGGAACCCTCTTGCGGCTGCAGACGTTGCTGTTGGGGCGGCTGCAACTGTAAGGGGCATGTCTAGGAATCTTGGTACGGCCAATGGGACCCCCACAAAAGCTCAGCAAGTCAAGTTCCCCAGTTGCCAGGGTAACAAGTAGAGGGCTGGATTCGGATTGGTTGGAAGTAGAATATGATGCGTAGGGCAACTGGTAATACGACGGTGGACCAACTGCCGTTGGACCCTTGTCGCATTTGCCCAGTTTGGAGGCTTTTTCTGGGAGTGGGTCAGACAAGAAGTAATCCTCCAGCTGAGCAAGCTCCTCTTGCAGCAGAGAGGTCATGACCTCCAAATCTGAGGGCACCTGGATGTCATGCTGGAGGGGCGAGGGGGGAAGGGATGCATTGGGGGAGGGAGAGGAGTGAGGGGTTGGGAGGTAAGAGGAGAAATCTACTTCTTCCGTCATCCAGTCACTAAGACCATCACCTATGGGGAAAACAGAGTTCAACATGTTAATCACTGGCCTAGAGATTTAATGTAGCACAATTATTTAAACCAAATAAACAACTATACCGGCAGTATTTTAACAACACGTAAAAAAAAAAAAAAATCGAATTACATCTCAATGCGCTTACTAAATCCAAATGTGAATGGCAGCATTAAACTAACACGTCATCACAAATAATATAAAATAGATCCACGTTGGTAGTTTTACTCACTGTTCAAGGAGAACGAAATGTGCTGCAGTGCGGTGCCCACCTGAAACTGGGAAAAATAAAAAACTGTATTCACTGCAACTCACCAATTAAGTGCTGGTTCTCCTCTGGCCCCTCCCCTCTGCGCCCCTCCGATTGGCTGTGGTTAGCCTGTGGGTGAGAGAGAGTGAGGGGGTCTGCCGGGCAGACGAGTAGAGTCTTCCAAATAGGTGCTGACATTGTCATCATCCTGTCCGTTGATCCTACGATTCAAATGTCCGAGCTTACAGTGCACGATAGTGAAGTTTGAGAGTTGAGCCACAGAAAATAGGGCTGGGTGAGCATTATGAAACCTAAAAAAGAGGGAAAATATGATGAGGGACGGCGTGTTAAAACGCATTGTCTATGGAGGTTTCGGTCTATCTGGTATTGAGAAGACACTATCACACCAACATAATTCTTTAGTTGCTAAAGTAGGATGGAGGAGAAAAAAAATCATTATGTCCTATTTGGTGGGACTTTCCATTCTAAACTTATCCTGTCTCTTCTAAAATATCTAAAAATATCTCCAACTCACCATGAATTCATATTTTTAGGTTGTTAACAATGAGAGATGCAGTGTAAACTGAGTAAAATAACCATAACCCCCCAATATTCCTAAAGCATCAGCTAAGACACACTGGTGATTAGCGAGGGACCAATTTAGAAAACTACCACTCTTCCATCCATCAAAGTCCCTTGTGCCCACTTAGGGGAGTTCTACTGAGATCCTAGAGAAGCAGGCGAATGCTCTACTTGTGGGAAATTTATTAGCAGCCTAAATACACAACACACACACAAATGTAAAACTTCTTCAGATCATATTTTGGATCATGCCAATAATAAATCACAATACCAAGAACTTTTAAACCGTTTCTTTATCTATATATCTATATAGATAGATAGAGAGATAGATAGATAGATAGATAGATAGATAGATAGATAGATAGATAGATAGATAGATAGATAGATAGTGCATATTTCTATAAGTTATCGCCACTATCTTTTGTTTGTATGATGCAACCTAAGGTAGTACCTCCAAACGCCCCAATAACCTTTGCACCTACACTGACGTCCAGTTTGTTTACAGTCTAAGGTCAGACACAGGACAACATTTTATGCTGACAGAATCATTAGAGACAACTCTGAATAAAATGGCAAATAGCAAAACAAAGCCTTTTCTTTTGAAATCAAGTATTAAAAAAGTTATTCTTTCTAGCAGTATGGCAGATGCATACGATGCAGACTCCTCTGAACTGGATGTCTGAACTTGGCCAGCACGTGGGTTACAATCTATGACGTAATGCGAAACCAAAGATAGCAAATCTTCGTGAAAGCTTTGAAAACGACTCATGCTTTTTCTCAAAGGCAATTTCTAAGAAAAGAAAAACAACATCTGCTGCATGCAACATGAAATACAATAATGTGGCAGATATGGATGACGCAAATGGACAAAAGAACAACTTTTGCTAAGACATAATGGCAGAAGAACCTGTGTAGCCCTGATAACTATTGTTTAAATAAACAGGTAATGCATCTGTATAATATTGATAATCACTCTATAAACCCCTCAGACACGATGTTCAACAAACAAGTATCACTTCAAAGTGCGTAAAATAATGGATTGTGTCTCAAAATAAATTCAACATGTGAACATGCTAATTAAATAGGTCAAACTGATTATTGTGTGATCACTCCTAAAGTTGCAAAACTGTGTAGCAACGATTAATACAGCTAAAGTGAGTTTCTGAAACTTTTCTAATAAGACAGCAATGTGCATAAAACATCGCCTGAAGCGCTGTTACAAGTGTGACAACATGCTTGACAACAGTTAAACAAAAGCAATACACCCAAAAAGTGCAAGCCAAGAGACAAAACAACAAATGTCTGACAAAAAGCAGTAAAGTAATAAGTTGTACTTACTCCATTCTTGCTTAAATGTTGTGGGTTTGGGGTGCGTTGCAAGTGCAAAGCACGGCGTTTCTTTAGGATCGAAGACTTTACTAAATTAAAAAGCCATGTCTCCTCCGGAGTGTCTAGGACTGAAGTGCTGTTGGTCTTGCTTTGTTGTGATGGAGTTGATGACTGAGAATCGGCTAATTGAGTCAATGCATCAGGTCACCCACACCTAGCAACCAGCTGCGTCACGCGGTCGGTCAGCCCCCAGTGCTATAGATTCCTCCGCCCTATGGATGTATTGGTCGAGATAATTTTCACACTTCGTGCCGGTGAAAACACCCACAAGATTTAGGACTCACTTTCTCAACAACTTCCGAGAAAACACAAAATCCCGTTGGCATGTCCTCAACTTGAACATACTACGGTTGTAAAGCTCTGAGAGAAGAATATGTGATGAAAGCGGCTGTTCACAAGAGTTTGGATGATTATCATACAGTTGCAGTATCTGGTTATGCATGAAAAATTCATATCATATCACGCATAGCATACACTGCCGTTCAAATATGTATTGTTTCACGGGGACTACTTGATTTCTTCTAGCGAGGAAGAACACTTTCTGCTACCCAGGAGATACGTGGCTGTTGTTGCAGCTTAGTTGCATCAGCGCTTCAAGCTGCAAGTAGATTCGCTGGACGGACTGAACCTGTCGTGCAGCGATTGGCTGGAGAGGAACTGTTGTCTTCCCTTATTGGCTCCCGCTAGAGAGACGTTGCTTCCCAGTGGTCTTCGGTTTTCCACTCTCCGTGCACATGTTTCACGTAAACATCCCGAGAGCAAATTCTGAAAGTGGTTAAACTTTCATGTCGCGGAAGGGCAGTTTACGGAACTTTACTGACAAAACATTGTAACATTTGTTGTGGCATTTGCTGATACGCGTTTTGGACGGTTCCCACTTAACTTTGAACGCTGTATTTAGCGGTTCAGTTGAGTTGTAGCCTAAGTTCTGTAAGTTCATTTCAACTGTAGGGTGAATCTACATGTCGACTGACTTGGTGTGTGGACAATTAGCGCAAATAGGCTTATGTTCAGGTTTATTATTATTATTATTTATAAAGCTGATAGCTTATTTAACGTTACGTGTTTACATGTTCCCTTAATTAACTGACATCGTAGTTACTGTGAAGAGATTTAAAAACATTCATTTTCTTTTAAATTAACACTATTTACATTCTAATGTAGTGTGTGTAACAGGTGGCGTCTTTAACGTCATTATTTCCTCTTCAGCGTCTGCATAACTGCCATTGGGAAAAGCGCAAGTTGAACTCTGCGATCGAGCAAAACTCAAACCCTATCTAGCGGGAGAAAGAAAGTTTCATTCATTGTTTGCCATCTTTTGATCATTCAGTTTCAACTTCAGAAGGACCGGCGCCACATTATGCTGAGCTTCATTTAAGTCATGCGCGGCCACAGAGACGAGACAAATTACCCTCAAACTCGCAAACTTAATTCCCGTTAATAACGGTTTTTCATAGAATCAAGCTTTGTTTTCCCCCCTCAGCAAATCCTAAAGCTGATTGAAGGAGCTATGTCTTCCTGTTGCTATAGTAATAGCGAACACTGCCCCCTATTTTAGACATGTTTTCTGGTTGCTGTTGCCATGGGATTTGCAACGAGCGTGCTCTCGCTCCCCCTTTCGGCCCGTGTTTTCCCAGTTTTGTCTCTGTTGAGTAAAAACGACATTCCCTGCAAAGTAACTTCAGTCTTTAACAAACACAACTGCAACAAGTGTCAAGGCTTAGCCTTTTTCATTGAAATGACTTTTTCGTCATAATTAATACGCGCTCTTCAGTCCATAGTCGCCACAAATGACACAAGTTGAGTCGTCAGAAATATTGTGTTTATGATGATATGTAATAAAATTGAAAAGCCCCAATCATCTTGCCAAAATATGGGAAACCTGAACAGACAGAGGAAAGTGTAAAACTGCCAGAAGGAATATGCCGTAGCTTTAGCAGAATGTTACGTCTTCCTCGACTGAGGAGAAATTGATTTTATTTACACTTAATAGCCCTGCATGAACCGAGATGACACCTGCTTTCTCGAGGAGCAGTCAGAGAGCGACGGGATCAAAGAGGGGCTTCTGAAGGTACTGTGATACTGTAATTCCTCTTGTGAGTCGGCTCAGCCTCGCAGTTGTAGAAGTGAGGCCTGATGCAATCTTCGTGACCGCAGTCGTAACGTTGAAGAGACTGAGATAATAATGGTTGTTGAAGTGTGGGATCTCTCCCAGGAAAGCGCTGACTCTCCCAACTCGCCGTGTCTTAATTGGTCCGTGGGGGCGCCCTGTTTGCGCAAAGCGTGAGAGAAAGTCAGCAGTACACACACACACACACACACACACACACACACACACACGGGCAACTTAGCCACAGACAGCCCCAGTGCTGTTGGGCCATCATACTTTGAGTTTCTGTTTGTATTGAGATTTTTTCCCGCACCTTAAATAGCTGATGTTGCAAGAGATGTAGGTCCAGGCCGTGGCGTTAATTAATCACAGCTTTTTTGAGGATTAAGAGCGCTGGTTGGAGTGATAAATCTGTTCCTCTCCATAAATCCAACTGTCCATATGTGAAACAATTAGCTCATTCAAACGTGAGATGCAGTTTTAGGGTGCTGTCTATCGATAAACACTATTAAAAACTAATCTTTGATTTTATGTTTGTTTATTTCTTTCATTCACTTTGTTTTGGCCTCTTAAAGCCCCCCCTCAGGCATTCTGTATGTTTGTCAGAGAATAAGTAAGGAGTGGGTGAGAGAGCAAACGCATCATGCCAAGTTCATGTATAGCACACATTAGTAACAGTTACATCACAATTTCATCACCATCTCCTTCTGTATTCATTGTTGTCTCTTTTCTTCATTCCCCTGCACGAGCGATCAAATCGTTTCAAGTTTCGATTGCTGTAACTTAAAAAAAATTATAAGACCCAATAGGAGTCATCTAGTAGAAATCTCAGCAAAATTGCTATTGTTCATTTCCCACTGCACTGCAGCACCGTATCGTGGGAATCGGGATATCCTTTCAACAGGTTTCAAGAGGTTTGACGCCCCCCTCCCACACATATAACCTATTTAGAATAGGCCTAACAAACGTGCAAGATAAAGATGTGTCTAATGACCCATGTTGCGTTGCGTGGCATGAACTAACCGCAGTCATTTCACTGACTGTTCCTTAGGGAGCGCGTGGCAGCGTTAAAGTTGTTTGATTTTGAGAAAGTGCATTTGTCGCGCGCCTCCCTCCCGCGGGACGCCGCTGTGTTCGGGTGCGTCTCGCATCTCAAACTAAACACGAGCCACTCAAGGACAAACTCAAGGAGTTATTGTGTTGGAATTTCCCCCGCCCCTTGTGTATTATTACATTTTTGAATGGTTATTATTTACGTTTAGGCTATGTGAGTTTACATGTGTAAACATTGAAAGCTCTAGTGTGTTTGAACGAGTGCGCGCGAGCGCAGCTCCTGTGTGAAGATGCGCGCTGGTTCTCATGGTTGGATTAGGTCGGTTGATCACGGCTTCAAAGTGGAGGGCTCTAGATTCCCAAGTGGCTCCCCTCAAATGTCTCCGACTTGATCTTCTGCACCGGCTCAACAGTTGATCATCTCAGCTCAGTCCCTATGATTCTAAGGCACAAACCTTCCCCTCTTGCTTTGATATGGGACACGACTTCTGCTGCTCTTTGAAACTCAAAAGATCGTATAGGCTATAGTTTAATTAGTCTTTGTAGGTTGTTTACACGTTACATTTTTTAACTAAAAGTGTCGTCCTTATTTAAATTTGTTGTCTCCCGTTCTTTGCGTTTATTATGTTCGTTGAGTTAGTTCCTTTTGCTTTTATGTTGCTTAATTTTAAAGTGAGATGAATTAGCATCAAGTGATAAATTAATTGGTGCCTCTGCTGGTGTAGACAGATGGCATCATAATAACGCTGATGACATTTGTAGTTGCATTTAACTGTTATGGTAATGAATGGGTGCGAGGCAGAGAGGAAAACAAGCTCAGGGCCCCGGGGCCTCAGCAGAACACAGAGGGGAACGCAGATCCAGCCCTTGCATCTGGAACATGAAAACACGCGCTGAAGCGGCGAGACATGACGAGTTGCGCCCTCTACCGAGCACATTGGGTAAACCAACAGACCGCTTCGCCAGCGCTCTACTTTTTATTCTCCACGGACATTATCCCTGAGAAATGCAATGAGAAGTGTTTTGAAAAAAAAAAAAAAATCCAAGTAAAAACAAATACACACACGTTTGTTTTTCATTTATAAACTTTATTGTTTATACTGTGTCTGTGGGACTGTCTTGGGAATTTCCCTGTCCATTAACGGATAGTTACAGATGTAACTGATGTCTGGCTCAAGAAGTGTGTTCTGCGGTTGAAGCGAAGAGTCCGTTTTACAGAACCCTCACTTTACTTACAGTACATGACTCCCTGATGCATGCATTTGTTTTGCCAGTTATGTTTTTTTTCTTTTAGGCAAATATAGCACTGTTTATAGCATAATGGTTTTGTGTCATGTGAACGATATAAACACTTTTAATAGAAATATTTTGAGAAGATCTATTTCTCGTTTAGTTAAATGCATGGATCAAGTCGATTATACCACTATGATTATAGTGTTATTTTTTTTATCTGTGAACCTCATATACATAATTTCTTAGGGGAGATAGGGGCTAGTTATCACACAGGGAAGTTGTCACAATGGTTAAACGCAATAACTATAACGTTTTGAGTTAAAAGTCCAATTACAAAATGTTGAAGAGTTTTCTCTTCAAAACTTTTTATATTTTAGTTACAGCTGTTTGGTTAACAAGTGAAAAAAAACCGCACACAATGCGATACATTCAGGTAAACGTCTATACAGCAAAGCACAATTTTATATATTTACAATATTTGTTGTTCAAAACAATTTTTTTCTTTATTTTTTGTGCTACCGTTTGCTTCTTTCATGTTCCATGAATTGTTTTGGGTTACACTTTATTTTACAGTGTCATTGTTACATAATGTTACATGCAGTTACTATAGTAATTACTATACATTATGCATTATTACTTGCAACTAACCCTAAACCAAACCAAACCCTATAGTAAGTACTTGTAGTTACTTAATATTACTCAGTACTTAAATGTATAATTACAGTGTAACAATGACACCTTAAAATAAAGTTTAACCTTGTTTTGTAACAATTGTTTTGGTGTTTAAATTTCATCCCACTACTCATCCTTAACGAACTGCAATTTTTTGGGGGCTGGGAATGGGCAAACATTTTGCAATCAAAACTTTAAGGTACGTGTTTATAAAAAATTGATTTTTAAAAATAAACCAACCCTGAGAAATATTCACTGGAGTAAAAGGTGTGACAACTAGCCCTGCTCTATGTGACTACAAGAAAAAATTGTTTGTTATAGACTTTTATTTTCCTTAGAGTATATAATACTTATTTATGTCAAATGAAAAAAATGTTAATATTTAGAAATACATTGTTAGTGCTATGACACTGAATTATCAAAAGTTCACACTGTTTTTCTCATTGACTTAGAAGAGGTCCAAGAGGATATCAATAATCTGAATAGCACAATACACAAAATATCTGATAATAAATCATAGAGGCACATCCATACATTTTAAAAACCCTGAAATAAAAGATGTGCAAATTAGAGTACACATATCAACACGGGTGAAGCTTTGGCAAAACAAAACCTGTTGGTACAAACGTACCAAGACCTTGAAAACAAAAGTGTTTACTGCAATGGTCCCCTACCAAATAATCTCGTATAATAAAGTTACAAATCAGGCAGCAGGCATATAGTTTTTAGTTACATGTCTGAGCACCTGGGCCATTTGTTTAAGAATCTTTGCAGCAAAAAAGTTATATAATTATATATTATACAGATAAAGACAACATATGAAATATCTTTTAAAGCAATTAAAAATATGAATTCTGCCTCCCCACCTAAAAAGATATTATGAAAGCTATCAAATGCTATTAAGTTTAATCTCATTGTAATCATGTAACTGGGCCTAAATAACTAAAAGTAAAGATAAGTGTTGGTAATACATCGACGTATATACACCTGAAGACTTGGCACCATAAAACTATAGAGCTATTAAATAAAAGTACTGTGCATATGATTGATTTGAAATGCCATAAAATACTGTAAGCTCTGTAACTGTCTCTGTATTACAATAATACATAGATAAACGCGCTCCCTCTCTCTCTTTCTCTCTCTCTCTCTCTCTCTCTCTCTCTATATATATATATATATATATATATCAGCTTCTCTTTTTAGTAACATCAATTCTGAGCATTAGTTGCACAATAATATGTCATCGTCATCAGGCCGGCCTGAATTCAGTTCTTCCCTAATCATGATGACAAAGAAGTCAGTCAGTGCCGTCTGAAGGTTTTGACACAATTCTGGATATGTTACACATCCTGGTAAATCTCAGATCACTGCAGGGAGAATTGCATCCGCTCTCCCTCAGGTCATAAACTGCGTGTAGCCCTCGGCACCCGTTACTATGACGTCCATCCAAATTCGCATGGCCTCTGGAGACGGTGCCACCATGAAATAAAGTCGATCATGAGTCTTCACGCAGAAGGTTAGCGAAGGATTTGGACTCTGTAAGGACAGCAAAAAGACACAGTATGCATTAAAGTGTGAGAAGACGGAGAACAGCAGGGCAGGAAAAAAAGGCATATGTCGCTGAAGTGAAAAAAAGCAAGCATGACGAAATGTACATGAACATGAAGCCGCCTTTGATCTCTTTGCCTTCTGCTGTAAGAAATTCTCTTTATGAAAAGACGCCTGTCTGTTTAAACTTTCACTGTGTGCTCAAAGTTGGTGTGAGCAGTATGGAGCTTGATTTGTTGATGGTAAACAGGAGGTGTTGAAAAAGCACGGCATCAGTTCACTCATTACCTTAGTTGCGCTGCGCAGGTGATCGTAATACACCTCCTCTATGGCTTGGAAGTAGATGACACCCTTCAGTTTGGTCTCGTGTTTATCTGAGTACAAACCATAAGGAAAAAAATTAAGGAAAATAACAATGCTATGTATAGATTTTTTTAATGAAATTATTCTACAGATCAGGTTTATTATTTATTAAGAAGAGATTGCATTTGCATTATACAAAGAGTCTGTTGTGATTTGTTTTAAGTGCCAGAAATAACTTAGATATTGGAATAAAAAATGAACGATTCTTTTTAAAAGGTTTTCCACAGGGATTAAACAAGCACATAAAGTAGAAATGAATTCTAGCGCACAGAGCGATTCACCTAAAAGCATTGTCTGTCTCAATTTAACACTGTCTGCCACCCACTGTAAACAGCTCCTATAACAGACGTTCCTTTTCGCTACTTAGCGCAAATTAACATCTCTCTTCGGATCGATTCTTATCACGTTGATGGTTTGAAACCACTGTTTTAAGCTTGTCAGCCTCCAGTGAGCCCCCTCGCATCAGTGTTGACGATTAAGATTGACTACTTTCCCTTTTGAAAGGTTTCTTTTTTTTTTTTTGGCTCGTCTCTGTTCCTTATACAAATCTGCTTAGTAATGGGATAAATTGTTTTTGTGTTTCATGTTTTTGAAGAGTTAAGTGCAGTATTGTTACTCAGAACTGAGCCAGGGGTAAGTCTACACCCCCATCCCTCACAAACGCTGGGCTAGAGAAAGTATTGCAGTTTATTTCATCATCATCATCACCACCATCATCATCATCACCACTAACATGGGGAGTGAGGGGGTGAAAAGGCTACACACATGAGCAAAGCGTATGTGTGCGAGAGAGAGAGAGAGAGAGAGAACATCTAAAAGAAAGACAAGATGATCGGAAATTGAGCGAACAGAGATAAAACGTTTCACCAGAAGTTGCCACTTTGTAAGTGGCGTCAAATTTTTTTCTCTCCAGATTTCTTCTTTTTCCACCTTATATATTTTGACTTATACTAAGCAACACCAGAAAAAGTACGTGCTCTCCTTTACACTTTCTATATCAATTTGTCAGGAAATAAATTGAGATTTATAAATATACACAGTATGCTTTTTGAAAAATGTCTCAAAATTATATAAACTGTATTGTGAATTAAAAAAAGTAAAATTCAAAATTTATCACAAAAACTAAAAAAAAAAAAAAAACACAAAACAAATTTGCTGACCATTTAATCAGGCATAAATACAACAATTATCTTACCTACGTAATAAGAGAAGGTCCTTTTAAGCCGATCAAAGACAAACCAGCGTTTTTTCCAGGATTTGATCTTGCCGCCCATCTTCACAAGATGACCCTTGCACATTTTCTCTGTAACAATGACAAACGGACATGTGTCCACGCAGTGGCCTGATGACTCCACATGAGAACGCAGGTCGAACTCCTCTTTTCGAATAGGTAGGTAGCGCGTCATTGGCCGAGCCTGAGGAGGGTAGAGCTCAGATTAGCTGCTGTCTCAAATATTTCCATAAAAATGTACTTGTCCAGGTACACATAACAACAATAAATTTAATGGAAATATAGCATGATAATTTGATATTGTGATCACTGTAATTAAGCAGGGAAAATGTATCAGAAAAATGCACACAGTGGTGAAGATCACGGGTTGAATCCATTGTTTTGGTTGTGTCACTTATCAGTGTTTAAAACATTGCTGTCCTACTGCCCTGCCCTTCCTTGCCTCTGCCTTACACCCCCTCCCATCTTATCTTCTTTCTGCTGTCTCCCTCTCACCATCTGTCTGCGTGTCTCCTCTCATCCACCTGCTGTGCGGAGCTGCTCTCTGTGCATTCATGCCTCCCGTCTGGCCCAGTCAAGCTGAGCAAGTGACCTCATAAAGACTTTTAAAGAGCAAATCCAAACATTCACTGACCTCAGAGCGGCACCGGTGAAGCGCACTGCTGTGTTCAGAGTTGTACGCAGACATTGAAACTGTCTGTACAAGTGAGAGCAGGCGCTGCTCCACTGTGTATACATCCGTGTGTTTCAAACGCGGATTTATAACTAACCTGATGTTACATATTTATATACACACATTATATTATGCTAAACATTATTAGTTAAAGGGTTAGTTCAACCTAAAATGAAAATTCTGTCATTAATTTCTCACCCTCATGCCGTAAGACATTCGTTCATCTTCAGAACACAAATTAAAGGGCACCTACTATGCGAAATTCACTGTTACATGGCGTTTGAACATAAATGTGTATTGGCAGTGTGTGTACACAACCACCCTATAATGATAAAAATCCACCCAGTGCTTTTTTTTTTTAATCCCCATAAATCAAAAGCACGTTCTCAGATTCGGGGCAATGTGACGTACTTTTGCACAAGCCCCTCCCGCGACTGTTGATTGACACTGCAGTTTGAGCGTAGACCCGCCCTGAGTGAGCTGGACACAGTCCACCATTGTTTCTACGCCGGAGCAGCTGTAGACAAGAATGTCTTCTAAAGCTATTGAGGTGTTTTGTTATAAGATGTAAGAATGAACATAGCAGTCTTCATTTACTCTCGTTGTTACTCGAGGAGGGATCAGTACAACTGTTCGTGATCAAGCTTACAGTCTCCGGAGCGACAGGCCTAACGTTACTGATCACGGCAGAAATGGAAGTGAGAGCGCGCACTTTATGACAGCTCATCGAGTCGTTTTACAGATATCAAGTTTACCAGTTTATTAAGCACCCCCTGAAAAGGTGTGTATATATTTGTTTACTGTTAGTTGTAACGAGTGTTTTGTGTACTTCGCTGTGTATGTTGATGATAATGAAAGGGAGAGAGAGAGTTTATGGATAAGACTTTAAAGCGCACTTCTTGTATGCGCGCTTCATCTTTTGTGTGATGTACAATAAACTTCATTGAACCCATCAATATTTCTGGCCATCATTCGGACGCAGTCCGCTACAACAGGCTTGTACTAATAGTGGATAAAAGCAAGATGAAAAATAAGTTATTAACGGTAATTAAACTAGACTATACCTGTTCTATCTCCATACAGCATATATTCTCTGGCTCTGTGGGGATTATTGTACGACTCCGGGTCGAAATGAACACTACTGAGAGTTTCTGTTTTAAGATTATCATTCTGTGTGAGATATGATTGTTCTGTCTCTGAGCGAGGTCATGAGGCTCCGCCCTCTGGCCCGGCAGCAGCAGCTCATTTGCATTTAAAGGGATACACACTGAAACTGTGCGTTTTTCTGAGCCCCAAAAAAGTGACAATTTAAACATGCTGTAAAAATGATCTGTTGGGTATTTTGAGCTAAAACTTCACATACACACTTCTGGGGATATCAGAGACTTATTTTACATCTTGTGAAAAGGGACATAGTAGGTGCCCTTTAAGATATTTTTGATGAAATCCGAGAGCTTTCTGAACCAGCCATAGGCAGCAACGTCATTGCAACTTTCAAGGCACAGAAAGGTAGTAAAAACATCGTTAAAATAGTTAATGTGACTACAGTGGTTCAAATGTAATGTTATGAAGCGACGAGAATCCTTTTTGTGTGCACAGTACAGCGCTTCCGGGTTCTACGCCAGAATGCCGGCTAATTGTTGGCCGACGCTGGTCATGTGAGCGCCACGACACATGCGTGTAATGCTGATGCAGGAGCTGGCCAATGGTGAGCCGGCATTCTGAACCCGGAACCCGGAAGCACTGTACTGCGTTTACTACACGAATAGTGAGACACAAAAAGTATACTCGTCGCTTCATAACATTACATTTGAACCACTGTAGTCACATGGACTATTTTAACGATGTCTTTTCTACCTTTCTGGGCCTTGAAAGTGGCAATGACGTTTGCTGCCTATGGCTGGTTCAGAAAGCGCTCGGATTTCATCAAAAATGCGTTTTGAAGATGAACGAAGGTCTTACAGGTTTGTAACGACATGAGGGTGAGTAATTAATGACAGAATTTTCATTTTTGAGTGAACTAACACTTTAAAATATAACTTTTAAAAGCCAAAATAAAAAAAATAAAAAAGATTATGCCATGCTACAAGCTAGCCAAGATTTATTTTAAGAAGACTTTTAATGATCTTTTTTACAATTGCTTGACAGTTACCCCTAGACTCATTTTAAAAAATGTATTGAATAATAATCTAAATTAAATAATAAAAAATGTAATTAAATAATATTTATTTTAAAAATCACAATAGCTTTGTACACTCTTTATGTAAGAGGTGTATTCAAGAAGCTTCTTAGTTTTAATTATATTTATGAATAACTTAAATGTGCCACATCACTGACCTATATTTACATTCACATATATAAATATATGAATGTACATGGTCTCTTGATCTATAAAGCATTATGATTATTATTATTAATACTTATTCATGAGTTATTAATGGAAGCCTTATTATTTAGTATTGTCCCTTTTATCTCACTGGGAAACGTGATGATTTCATGTCCGCCTAATAAAAGACTGGGAGACTCTATAACTCTATTGCTGATCTGAGACCAATTCATTTAGGTATTCTCCAGATGCACTGACCTGAGAACACTGTTTCTCTCTCATCTTGACCTCTTCCTCCACAAGTCTCTGCCTGTGCACAGTCTCATCCATCAGCCTCCTCTCTACCTCCTCTCGCCTCCTCCTCTCGGCCTCCAGCAGCTGCTTTCGTGCCTGGACTTCTCTCTCCTGACGAAAACAAGACAGACAGACAGACAGATTAAGACACAGTGAGAAAATTTAATAGGCGATAGGGAAAAATACATACAAATACATAAAATACACAGTGCAGAGTGACTGGGGATGCATGAAAAAATAATTCAGCAAGAGATTGTTTGATTGAGTATTACTGTCTGAGAGCTTGTTAAGATCCAGCCTTTCATGTCTATCACTCTTTGTAGGTAAGAAACAATCTTTAATGCAGTAATGCCAAAGGGACCAGGGGCTTCCTTTTTAAATTCATGAAAAAGATCTCTTTTATATGAGAGACAGGCTGTGGGATGGATTATATTTCACAGACAATTAAAGTTTAATGGTACTCACTCGACTCTCCACCAGTCTGGCTTTCTCCTGCTGGGCCTCCTTCAACATCTTCTCCATCTCCTCCAGCCTCAGTCCTGCCAGCCCATTGCTGCTAAGAGAGAAACACACGGTTACGGTTGATGTGGTGTTTCCAGTGGTAGAAGACGACATTGGGCCCAAATGCTCACTCTAGACAGATCATTGCTTTAAACGAAACTATACTGATTTCTAAATAAATATCAAAAAATACTTTAATAACAACAACAATAAAAATATATGAAAAAATATTATATTAAAATTATCGAATACGTCTACTGACAAATTATTATTAAATGATTCTTAAAATAATATTTAAAACATTTTATAAATAATTACTAATAATTTTACGGCATTATATACACTACTAAAAAAAATTTTAAAACGTTTTTTAAGCTCACAAAGGCTGCATTTATTTGATCAAAAATACAGTAAAAACAGTAATTTTGTGCAATATGGTTATACCTTAAAATAGCTGTTTTCAATCAAAAAAATATTTACATTTTTTAAATTGAGGACCATTTAAGGGGACCTTGAGGGCCCCCTTTCCTGCAGAGTTTAGCTAAAGTGTCATTTATTCCTGTGATGGCAAATTATTATAATCAATGTTGAAAACAGCTGTGCTGATTAATATTTTTGTGGCATTAAAGAATTAATTTGAAATACATTTTTTTTGGTAAGAAATTAAGAGTATTTACTCTCACTTTTGGTCAATTTAATGCATCCTTCTTGAATAAAAGTTGTAGTTAAAAAACCTCAAACCCTGACCTCAAACTTTTGAATGGTAATGTATATTTTAAAAAGTTGTATAGTTATTGTGAGTAATATGACTTTTTATATGACTTTTTATTTTCTAAACCTTCATAATGCTGTTTTTTTAAACTCTTGGTCATGTCTTATCTTGCCTAGGTCCTAGACAACCAAGTTTTCGCCACAGGTTAAAAAAAGAAAAAGTACATTAATTTGCTTGGTTGAAGAGGATGTGATTTTTTTTCTATTTCACTTTCAAATGAGGACCTTTATGCTTTTTTTGGTGGGCCTCTTTTACCATCTCAAAGGAAAAGGTTGATCGAGGGTGAGGTTGGCTGTAGGAGTTTAAATTAAAACTGCTGAAACATCTAACCGAAATGTAAGAATGCAAGGTCAAAGATTCTTGTCCAGACTATCGATGCTGAAAAGTAGGGCAACATCAAGAGAACGTCTTTTCATGACTTCAACATCTGACTTAACACCTGAAGCTTCCCTGGATCCAAGGAGCACATACTTTAAAATGACATTCTGTGCTTGTTTTGCCTCGGGACTAGACCAACTTTGAAGATGAGAAGAATAGCATGTCTCTTTGTATGGACGTATGTGTTGTCATGGAAACAACCCAGGAACTATTCTGGGAGGAGGATGAAAAAACATTTATGGGGAAATTGGGCAGCGTGACCCGTTGTCAGGGGAATGGAGGCAGATTGAAGGGTTCCCTTGACAACTGCACCTCACCTTTCAGGTGAACAGGCGGAGTTGTTGCCGGTAGATACGCTGGTCTCCACGCTGTCGGAACTCTCCAAACTCAGAGTGTCATACGTCGACTCTCCTGCTGGGGGTGCTTGGTGGTGAAGAATGGAGTGGTGTACCATGGGAATTCCTGAAGGTGGTGCCCCCCACTGGCTGTGTTTAGGATCCGTAGGCCTGATTCTGGAATCATCACATGTATAGAGCCCTGGAGAAAAACACCCAGAGCAGATCAATAAAAACACTGGACTGTACAGTATGTCTACAACCATCTTTAAGTTACATGTAGCTGTGTTAGCAAAACAACATTAAATTATTCAACACACGCTGTTTACAGTCTGATAATAGTGAGTGATGGACTACCTCTGCCCTGTAGATCTAACTGTCTCCTGGAGTCTAAGTCCAAATAAGCAGGAGATAGGTCTGGGAGACTCTGAAGATAAAATAGAAAAGATAAATAGAAAGTGACACGTTTAAAAACAATATATGTGGAGTTATAATGGAGCTACAACAGGTTTTCAGTTGAGCCAGTCTTCACCTGTCTGTCCACGCCACATTGCACATTCTAATATTTTAAGGATTAAATACGCATCATATGCCACCCTTGTCTTTGAAGTAAGTGCACAACACCAAGGTTAAATGTAGTCCAAATAATGTGTTAACATGTTGAATGAAGCTAAAGCCTGGCCCACACTAAAAGATTCTTATCAGATTTTCAAAATGTGACAGACCACAAACATGACGATAATTATCTATTTTTTTACAGTTTTGTTCCAATAGTGTGTGGACAGAACACCACACACTAACAGATTCAAACAACCAGATTCCCGGCTGTGAATACGGGAAATATCGCAAAATCTCTTTGATTTGGTCATTAGCGATGTTTTATGGGATCGTTGCTCTTTCCTTCTTTAAAGCTAATAATAACACGTGTTTTTTATCCAATTATCAAATACTTTTTTGCTTCAAATCAAGGTTTGTAATGTGAATCACCTCGTAGCAGGTTGGTCTAGTTCATGGCTAATAACTCTTTTTAAGGAGTTTTTTTTAATGCCTATGGGAAAAATACTTCCACGGCTGCTGAAAAGGTGGATGAAAAATGTTGCATTATATATTTAAGCACAGCTAAAGTTGTATAAAAAAATTGTAGACTTCATATTGTTGCCTCTTACGTTATAAACCATCTTACTTTGGTGGGTGTGTTTCTGCCTGATGTGGTCATGGAAGGCAGGGGTGTAAAGGTGCCATTGGTCTGTCCCAGCTCTCCATCCTGCTTACAGATCTGACGACAAAACATCTCAGTGTTCTTTATCCCTTCATCATTCAAATCCTCCATCCATAATGACAACTATGGCAGCTTGCCCCCAAAGCGAGGAAAAATACAACACCAATGCAACCAGGCACCCGGCAATATAGACGCTTTACATAAAAGTACAGCTTAATGAGTGGTTGCAGAAATAACCACTTAAAAAATGAGTGGTTATTTCTGCATAGATTGAATCAAAAGGACAGAGAACTTAAGGACAGACAAAGGATGCAAGCAGAATAGAAGACAGACAAAAGAAGAGAGTTTACCTGCATAGGTTTACGTGAGGAGAGACACTTAGCAGGCAGAGGGGGAGGACAGGCATGACTGGACTCCCCAGCTGCCATGATTTCCTGGTACCAGCGCTCTGAATCTAGCCTGGGGATTGAAGGCCTACTCCATGCAGGCTGGGTCTGAAGTGCAGTCCAGGTAAAGGGAGGATAGGTGGGAAAAGAGGAAAAATTGATACAGGAAGAAAGGAAAGAGGAGACATGCATTGAAAATATGAAGTGGTATTTAGATTAGAAAATGTAAAAAAAAATTGTCTCAAAACCAAAAGCTTGAAATCCCACTTTATTCAACTCAGATTTCACATGGACAAGCCAGTGAGTGCTATGGTAAATACAATCATGAACACATCGACACCAGGAAATAACACACACCTCAACAGGAAGTGACTGGGAGGAGCCACACTGGGATGTGTGGCTGGAGTGGACAGGATCAGCGACAATAGCTTGGAATGATTGGACGGAAGATGTGGGGGAGGGGTCAACTTTAGGCATCCCGAACAGCTGGTTTAACTGACTGACTGTCACATACTCCTTTATACAATCAGCCCATCACACACAAACACAAACACAAACATAAAATGTAACGTGGGCATTTTAGGTTTAGAAAAGCATAAAGCTAGCACAGCAGAGGCAGAGGATACAACAGCAACTAAGACACTAAGACAGCTGGGAAGAAATGAAAAATAAAAGTTTCAAGAGAAGACAGCCAGTGCGTTATTCTGACAGCATCATAAAAGAAAAGCCACAAACTAGACATAAATGGCACTGGAAAGGGAAACAGGAGGTGGAAAGGCAAGGAAAAGATTCTGTCATGGATGAAAGAGTGAGTGGAGGAGTCATACCTCACGAGGTGTGTCTGATGTTACAGCCAGCGGTACACAGAGAGCGTTAGGGAAAGCAGTTTGGGAGGGGATACATCCGTTCCCATACATCTTATATACATCAGAGAGTTTGAGGTACTCCTAAGCACACACACACACACACACACACACACACACACATCCATTCATCCGTACACACATCCACATCAGATATCAGTTCATATTTCAAACAACTCATGAAGAACTGCACCATAAATCTTCGTGCACCCACTGGAAAAAGCACGCTTATGCCCAACACATCACAAACATGCCAAGCAACATCTCCAATATACACACATCCAGAATGTGTGGTACAGAATGTCAATGTCCGCCATCCCAGTACTACGATATGTAACCACAGCAATCATCAATGGTCTGAAAACCATTCATGCTGGATTGAGGCAGACAACACCCACAATGTGCACAGTGAATTCTCACACAAAATGCTAATTATTTGCATTACAACTATAGCTGTTACCAGTACAATTAATGAATGCTCAAAAAAAACCCGAATATCACATACCCAACAACTCAAATAAAATCCTGCAAATATTAAAGGTATGATATACCACACATGTGTCTACTGTTCAAAGGTTTGGGGTCAGTACGATTTTTTAAAAGAAATTCTTTTTTCATTTATTTAGCAAGGACACATTCAGGATCCAAAGTAACAGTAAATACTCTTACACATTGTAACAAAAGATTTATATTTCAAATAAATTATGTTCTTTTGAACATTCTATTTATCAAAGAATCCTGAAAAAAAATGATCACAGTTTCCAAATATTATGCAGCACAACCGTTTTCATAGATAATAATAGGAAATGTTTCTTGAGCACCAAATCAACATTATCATTATAATTATTTCTATAGTAATTTCTGCTGAAAGTTTAGCTTTACCATCACAGGAATACATTTTAAAACATGTTAAAAAAGAAAATTTCACAATATTACTGTTGTACTGTATTTTTAACATATACACTCGCACCTTGGTGATATAAAATATTTTACAAATCTTGCCGCCCTCAAACTTTTGAACGGTACTGTAGGTTATGTCCATACACATCAGTAGGGTTGGGAACTGAGAACCGATTCCACTAACGGTTCTCACACATGCATTCTAACAGAATCATTAGTGGAACTGTTAAGAAACTGAAATCATTCAATTCTATACAATTTCAATCCCTTCTCATCAGCCACATACTGTAGTAACATGTTATGAACGGTGAAATGACTGAGTAAGTACCAATGACAATGTTTTTGTTAGTTTGTAAATCCCCCACAGCTGTCCTGGGGTAATGCTTTTACCTCCTGTTGCCTGTTAGAATATATCTGAGTGGTGGATCTTTGACAACAAGAAGAAGGGAGCAGAGAATTCTGGGAAGGGAGCTCATCAAAAAAGTCAGGTTCATTGATGTAGAGCACTTCCTGTTTTGAATATGAACACCAAAGTCAGAAAACACCACCAAGACAGTTTGTGCGCAGTGTTGCGCAAACCATGCCAAATAACATTTTTATGACATTATTTGTCTTATATCAAACTTCTTCATATTGCCTCTACATATTTTATGGCTGATCAAAGAGGCATCGATATAAAGCGTATCGCTGATGGCGATAACCCAGAAAAAAACGTGCGCATTACTTCTAAGCAGGAGTGGAGTGGATCCCTACAGACACTACCACCATCAGGATGTACACAACGATACGGTTATTTCAAACCAATGCACTAAATACTGAGATATTAATTGATTTATTATTACACTTATTCTTATAGTTATACATATTCTTTAGATCTGGAGGCCTCTGTATACAGTCTGTTTACTAGATTAGACAGAGATAAAAAGAGCAAACAAAAACAGATCAATTGGCCATTGATCAGTACAGTCATGGCTGGTGTTACCTCCTTCGTGCTGCTAGGCTTGGAGAAAGTATTTCCACCAGTTAGGCTCTGGTATCTCTTCTCCAGGGCAGACAGTCTCTCCTTTTCCTTAAAGAAAAATATATCAAGGGTCAGATTTACCATTAGGGAGTATTCTGGGTTATATATAACCATACTTTTTAGTCATTTTGAGGTTTTAGAGTTTATGGCGTTACATTGTCATGGCAATGAAGTTGTAAAATTGGATATAACAAACTAAATTGAGTTGAATAATGACACTAAAGTAATTTCATAATTAATACATTTTGCAACATTAACACTGTTTTTTTCCTGTTTATAATTTTGACGCTGCTAAATAAATAAATGTGACAAAAAAAAGTTACTAACTTATTTTTTTATTCTAAAATCTTGGTAACATATTTTCTTGAGTCAATGATATTGAAACAGAGAGTATATTAAAGTTGCTATGAAATGGAAATAGCAACAGATCTTTTATTCCGTATTGCGATGTAACGGATTATCGGCAAAGAAAAAACGTAGGGCGGGGACTTGGTTGTATCACATGTTGCCACACAATCGATTGTGGAGGGGCAGGTATAAGCAAACTAAATGATTGGATCTAGGAAACCTCACCGGAGGGAAGTCTGCCATTTTCATTGGAAGATCCAATTATGACATTTTGATCAAACATTACGAGTTCAAAAACATAAGTGAATTAAATTAAATTAATGAAAAAATATAGAAACAAAATTTAAAAAATTAAAAATATACATGGATGAATTGTTCACAATAAGATCAATAACATATATTTACATAATTAAAACAATTTTTTGATTTCATACCAACTTAAATGTCCCATTTACTTCCATTGTAAGTGTCTCACTGTAACCAAGATTTTGGCTTACATTATGCCACAAATGTCGTTGACTGTGCTTGACTTGTATTTAACCTGGAATATTCCTTTAAGTATCAAGCTGTATTTCTGTGGTGATGAAGACGCTTTGCATGAAGTGTAAATAGAGATTAAGCTTTGTTCTCAACCTTGTGGAGCATCTGCAGGCCCAGTGTTCTATCTTTGGCCATCATTTCACAATCCTGAGCTGCCTGAAGTCCAAGTTGGTTAGCATGGATCTCCAGAGCTGCCATTTTCTCCTACACAACCAAGAGAAACGTTTCAACGGAAGCCGAGCTCATTTGTCATTCCAGTCTGATACAGGACTCGCCACTCATTACTGACTTTATGAGTCCTTTAATAGAACTGACCTGAGATCAGTGTCATTTACCTTCCTTTTAGCCACACTCCGGTGATACTCTGCCTTCTCTTGCAACAGCTGCCTGCTGACTGTCTCCTTCTCCTCCTCTATGCCACTCTCTCGCTCCAACTGGCGGAACTCCAAATCCTCAAAGCGCTTAGTGGCCGACTCCAGAGCCTCCACCTTCTACAGACACACACATGCACAGATGGACAGAGAGACGAAGAGGGAGAGGGAAAGACAGAGGCAGACGAACAGATGGGAGAAACAAACAAGCAGACAGACAAATGTTTCTCAATGACATGCCGAAGAAGATCACTCTGTCTGCCAAACAATGTTTGCTGTGTGGAACATGTTTTTTAGGTTTTTTTTCAATGCATCTCCTAAAAAAACAAAACAATTTTACACACATCCTCTGCTTGGTGATTATTGGTACAAAGATAAAGAAGAGTGAGGTGATTCGCTCAGTTCATCACCATATCAGTGAATTAGTGAGGAGATTTAGTAAAATAAGCACTTAAGCAAGAGTGAAAAGCAAAAGACAGACATACAAATAAATGAATTTCATGCATTTTCATTCCCTAAAAGAGCAGAGGTGCATCATAACGATCATGGTTGTTCAGTCAGTGTGTAAACCCTTTATTGCCATGAGCATAATGTGGCTCGAGAGGGAGCGCAGACACACAGCCAACACACACAGCCATAGGATATTTGTGCAGATCCAGATTCTAACAAGCTGTCCAGTTAAGGCTGTTGTATCATATCATGTGATTTGCCCATTAATTGCTGGTGATACTGGAGGGTGATACATTCCAATAGTTATTTTCATAGATTGTCTTGTGTACAAATGGCATTATATAGGAGTAAATCTACATCAATCTAATTGGCTGTTCTCTGATAATTTTCTTCTTTGACATTTTATTTTATAATTATAGAGGCAGGCTGACATTGGGTATTCAACTGTGCATGTTAATTTCCCTTTTTTATATTTAGATTTGCATTGCTTTAATTCACCATTTCCAACACATCAATCATCTTAGACTACATTTTTCATACTATGCATTATGACAGTGAAATACCTACATTCACTTAGCATTTAAAACAACTGATAACATTTTTTACTCTTTTATTTTTCATTTATTTAGACAAAATTATTTAAACAAAATAGAATTGTAATATCAGCCAAAATTTCTGTATTGGTGTATTCAAAATTGTATATATTTATTCATTGGTCTATTTATTAAAGCTGTCATGGTTACTGTGTTAAATAATAATTTCATTAATTAAATGTTTATCACAGTTACATTTATAAGTTACAAATTAAATTATCTAAATATAAATATACATAATTTGACCGTACAACTGCTTCATGGTGTTTTGTCTTATTTCTAAAGACTGGCAGGGAAAAGAGAAAAGAGTGTTCTTGTAGCAAGGCTTTCCTTTATGCTCCTGTAAACAACAGAGAAAGGATTTCTTAATAGCCAATGAATTTATAAATTTGATCCACATGGGACAATTAACAACATTAAAGTAATTTATTTTATTTTATTTCATTTCATTACTATCAAAGCTATTATTAAATATGGTGAGCGAAACACACCAAGGCCACTGGACGGATGGCAAAACAAGATTTGTTATATATATTATATGGTTATAGAAAAAAGACTTCTAAATTAGAGGGAAACTGAGAACTCGCAACTAACTGTGCTAACTATTTTTTTTTTTTTTTAAATCATGAGATCAATCGGTATTCATTTTATATTTTAATGTCCTGACAATCCACCTATACTTTCTTTCATTTCTCCTGCTCCTCTTTAAAGTGAAGCGGATGTATATGTTCGATAATCGCTGTGACTGTCACGGCAGTATCAAATCGCACACTGACCCTGGTCAGTTGTTCCTGTAAGTGCTCCCTCAGTGATTCTGGGCATTTATGAAGCTGGCCCTTCAGCTCACTGTACGAATCCCTCAGTCTGGCCAGGACATCCCGCTCAGTTGAGACTTTTGCTCTCTCCTAAAAAAACATTACACACACGTAACATACACACAAGTAAAATACACACGCAGCAAGCCAGTGATGCCGGAGAGAGGTGAAAACAAAGAGGAAACTGCTTAGATAAAGACACCATGCTGTGTTAAAACAGAGGTTTAGATATGGGGTTGCCATGGCAATCAGAGCCCATATTGCAGCAGACTATCTGAGCAGAATAAATATTCATACAGCAGTCAGCTGTAGAACATATAGTATTTACAGATAATATTGTATATTCTATCTCTATTTGATTGCCTTTATGGTATTTTCACCGATTTTAACATTTATCGATGTGTAAATTTACTTTCGATACATTTTTATCATACCTACAGAAAACTGACTCTTCTTTATGTTGCGGTCTGGAACAAAGCGGCTTTAATGCTTTATTGCAGATTTCATTCCAAATGAATTGATTTTTATCAAAAGACTGATATGAAAGTGCCCATTGAAACATGCAATATAGTCAGTGTAATTTGAATTAATAAAAAGTTAGATGTCAGACTGTTAGAAACTAGCATGGTAGTAAAGATGCATCCACAAGGTATTTCAGGAGAAACCAACAGGAAACAGGGAAGCATGCTTTATAGCGCGTGTTTGTTGTCGGTACCTTCTCTTTCTCCTTCTGAGTTGCATTTTCCACTTCATTCAGTTTCAGCTGAAGTTGATTGATGATCTCCAACTCTGTCTCCACTTGATCAAGCTCTGCCCTCCGTTCTCCCTGCAGTAATGCTCTCTCCATCTCTGCCTGCCAATAAAACGAAACATTCAACAGTCTGTTCACTTCCATATGTTTCTGTTAACATGAAGAGCGCTGCTCTGCTGATCAGGCAAAATCCTGCTTTCACATCGATTTTAATATGCAACACCAAAGATGTTTCTATGCATGGCAGATGGTGATGCACTGATGTACTGTAGATGAAGACGACTAGTGATTGAGCAGGCTTTACAAGTTTTGATGTGAATATCTACATCTCTCGCTCTCATTCATGTGGTTATGATGGAAGTGAAGGAAGGTACATGTACTTTGTGGACACATCACACAGGCAACGGTCTGTAGGTTTAGGACTAGGTTTAGTCTAACCTCCTGTCTGGACTCCTGTATCTGCTGTTCCAGGTCAGTGACACGAGTCTTCAGCTCGTCCACCCGAGCCAGAACCCTGAGCCGCTCTTCCTCCAGATACGCTCTCTCCTGCTGCCCCAGCACTGAGGAATCTTCATGCTGAAAAAGCATTTGTCAATTACAACAAATTGTGTTTGTGTATGTGAGTGTGTTGGTGAAGCCACTCAGACAATGTTTGCAACAAATAAACTCTACATGGCCTTCTAACAGTGACCTAAATGAATGAAAACCATTTTTATCTAAAGAAAGGGAGAGAAAAAGGCAGAGAGAGAGACATAGAAGAAATATTCAAATCTAGGCAAATTCAAAAGGGACTAGCAGACCATAAGAGGTAAACATTTACTTATTTTTCCACATGAAGTGCATAGGAACTTCCACAACTACAAAATTGGATGTTTTTACAAAATCTCACATAAAACTTCAAATTATGGTCATATCATGCATAATAAAGTGTGTGCACAAATATGTCCACATACTCATTCAAGCAGTTTTTGTTTTGTATATAATGAGGTCCAAAAATCCCAAAATGCAAACCTATTTGGCATTTTCCTAATTTAATTAAATTGAGAAATTAACACAAATTTCTTAGTATTTATTAAATACTATATATTTTTAACATGTTATATATTTTTAGCATATATTTTGCTTTAATGACAGCTGCACGTGAACTCCACAAGTTCATGTCAAACCTAATGATCATGTTCTCCAGCACGATTTGAGATCATCCAAAGAGCATCTTGTGCTTTAGTGGAAGCAAGAACATCTGACCATCTTTACAAAATTCACATGATCAAATGTCACAAATGTACTTATTTGACTAGTGACCAGGAAATAGCGCAGAATCTTTCATTTTTTCTTATTAATTCATTTTTTCTTATTAATTATGTTTATTATTAATTATGTCACAATGTTCAAAACCCAAAAACTTCCTGTTTATTTAAATTCGGTTCAGGTATCAGTGTGTTAGTCTAATAGTGGGAGAATCACTCATAGTGTGTGTGTGTGTGTGTGTGTGTGTTGTACCTCCTGGTGCTGGCTCTCAGTGCTGCTACACTCCTCTTTCAGGTTCTCCTCCTCACTCTCTCTCGGTCTCTGAGAGCTCTGGGCCGGCACACTCGCCGGGACAGGGCCGGGTCGTCGAACAGAGACCTCCTCCATACCCGGGAACTGACACGCCCTCCCTGCGTCCAAGCCAACCGGAGGATCACTCTTATTATACTCGGCACACAAATTCAGGATGGTCTCAAGCCTCTGCCTCTCCTAAAAACACAAAGAAGGTTTTAGCTGTACATACAGTTTTAAATGGCACAAAAACTCACACACAGGTCTAAAATGGTGTAAACACATGAAGTTAACACTCTTCTAAGAGCTTCAAGTCTGTATGTTCTAAACTAACTGCAACCTGACACCAACATTTCAAAGACCACTTACGGCACTGTGTGACTCCCATAACATCCTACAGCATCGCTAACACATTAAACAACTCAGTATAAATGTAAAAATCCTGAACATCCGCAACAGTGCTTGAGGTCTCATAAAAATTCTCTTTGTGAAAGTTTCCCTTCAAGCCAGTTACTGACCCGCAAACCTCTGAGCACACTCAAGCGACCTCTCACCTGGCTGTGATAGTCAGCTGCTGCCATCACTCTACATACACAGCGTGTGTGTGTGTGTGTGTGTACACCATCTACATACAGGCTGCCAGAGTCCCGGTCTTCTCTCGCAGCTCTAGCTGGACTAACTAGCGCTCTAGGCATTGGGGCTCATTATATTTTATATGGACAATACCCAGCTCAGCTTGGCTAGATGACACGAGTGACATTACTAAAATAGCATGGCAGAGAGCACAAGTAATCTACAGCCATCCATTTCGGCTAAGAAATTTTTATTTTGATGAACTAAGGAATTATTTACACAAATAAAAGTCAAGACAGGCCTGAGACTCTGACCTCTGAAAATGCACACAGTACAAGATAAATACAGCATATTTTTTTTTATTTGTAACAGATTGAATTTCGTGCTCTAGGTGTTCAGTGCTGTAAAAGTCTTTTTCACTGAGCCATTATCTCACAAGACCAGCCAATAGAACGTCTCAAAGCATATGCTCTTCCCTTTTAACGAGGTCTCCCCTGTCAGGAGAGTGCAGACAGAGTGCTGGAACAAGGAAACGCTAACTGATGGGTAACGTAGCAACAGCATTCTTCTTCAACAAAAGGTTGTCAGCACAGCTGGTCTGCATGCTGAAGACACAGACCAACACAAAGCACAGAGCACTAAACCTCTGTGTGTAAAAGCCACTTTAAGACACGACTATCCTCTATTTGGGCACAACAGCCAAGATGGTAAATTAAATTCATTATTAGGGGCCTGAAAAACAGGTTTAAACAAGGTAGTTAAGTGTAAAATGTATTCTATAGAATTTGCTCTGGGAAATTTTTGTGTAAAGGTCTGAAAACCAAAATGCAGATTTAAAAAATACTTTCCATCTTTTTTTTCCTCTCTCTCTCCAGAATGCAAAATTCTCCAAGCATCGATATAAAATGTAAGAGGTGGTTTAAAAGAAGAGATGGTTAATTTAAACGTTCTTAGACGCATCTATGGAAAAAAAAGTGTAATTAAAAACTGTACATCTGTATTTAGGGTATACATCTATTAATTGCAGTGGAAAACAGTGCGTTTAAGATTTTTAGATGTTTTTAATCTGGTAAACAAAGAAAAAAAGTTCTTTCTTTCAAAAGTTGGTGCCATATCGCCCTCATGTGGTTCATAGTATGAAATGCTTCAGTTCTCTGTAGCTTCCACAGACACAGAAAGGAACAAAAGGAAAATGACCGTTAAAACTTCAGTGAGCCAGAAGAGACACATCTTTATGGATTTTGAAGACAAAGTGCATGTGTTTGTGTGTGGTGTAAAACAAGTTATTTTCTGGTGCATTGTGACCAAAAAATAATAAATGCAACAAGTCATATAATTTTGCAGCTATTATAGTAAAATAAACAGATTTTTAAAAGGGAGGTGAAAATACTTCCTAACTCTTACATCAAAGCCTATCAATCCAATTTCAGTATTTTGCCACAAATTCACCTGTCACTTGGTCATGTGGTTCATAATAATAAATTATTTGTCCAAATATTTGTTCCATCTATTATGCTGGTAGCCCACAGTTTCTGCTATTGTCCGTGCATTTACACTTGTAGTTGTTCCTATTCAGCCTGATGTCATCTTTAAAAGTTTGTGACAAAATTAACAGAAAACCACTCAAAAAAATGTTTTTTTTTTTGTATTATTATTATTTTTTAATTATACTTTTATTAATCTAAGTATCCTGGCAAATATGTATAACCATTTCCACAAAAATAGTAAGCAGCACTATGTTTTCACATTTGATAGTAGTAATGGCATTATGGCTGCTGAAAATCCAGCTTTGCTACCAACAGGAATTAATTACATTATAAAACATTAAAATAGAAAACTGTTATTTTAAATTATAATAATATTTTACAATTTTGCTGTTTTTACTGCATTTTTGATCAAGTAAATGCAGCCCTGGTGAGCATAAGAGACTTCCTTCAAACCCCAAACCTTTTAACATTTTGCTCAAAAAATTTTTTTACAGAGTTGGGTCAACAACTGATGTCAAATGTAAAATCTGGTTCCTGAAGCAAAACCAATTGAGATCCACTGTTGTTGGGAATAGAGACTGTGTGTCTGAGATAAAAGGTGGGCGGAGCACAGCAATGCTATCATTGAACAAAGAAGAAACACATTTTCAAGCCAACTGGGCCATGACCTAGAACGGAGTAAACATAGACACGTGAAGGGATTTGAAAGTAAATATGACATTACCCCACGAGCCATTATCTCTTGTCAGGATTAGAAGAAAAGATCAGATTCCAAAAGCTTTTTCTAGATCTCTTCCTTCTCGCTTGTAATACACTTGCTCGCTTTTGTCTTTTTATCTTATCTCCCAAATGCTTTTCCGGTCAAGAACCAGATGAAATGTTCCCCCTTTCTGAGTGTATATCACTCCTGCCCATAAGCCCAGAATGTGTGGTCACATGCGGCTTACAACAGCGTGCTGCGAGGTCACACCTCTGAAATACCATTTTTGAAGCTATAAATGTCTGTGCATTTGATGACATTAGGAAGGAGATTAACGTTAAATACAGCTCAGCTGTGCTTTAATGTGGCACAAGTTCTTCCAAGGGTGATACTAACCTGAGAGCAGCATTAAAAAGGGCAGTCCGCCAATTTTGGACAAAAACTAGCACTATCTTTCAAGTTGCCACACCATTGGATAAAGCTGTGCTGTAACCATGACAACAGTGCCAGACAGACCAGAGACCATAGGACAAAGTTTAACCCAAACAGAGTTCTCTTGTTCATAATAAACCTAATGTTCCTGCCATTGTCTCGAAACGCTAACAAGAGACTGATATTATGGCAAATGACTTACTATCCTCTATTAATTTAGTTCTGTCTCATAGTAAATGGCCTAAAATAGTTTTTCTCAAGGGAATAACAAGAATGTGTGGCAGCCGCATATAATTAGGTTTGTGTGTGCAATGTGCATTGTATTTTTAAGAGAGGTTACAGTACTTCATCATAAAAATGCCATTAAGTGAGCTGGTTAGAGGTACAGAAGATGTATATAATTTCAGGGATAAATAAGATGGTGAGTAAGAAAGATGATGAATGGCAATTCCATATGGGAATTTGAGATGCACCCAAGCAATGTCTGGGGTTTTTAATAGGTTTAAATGAGAGAGATGATGTCTGTGTGTGGTTAATTTAGGGAGTAGAGAGACTAATTTTTAGACTGCTAAAGGAGGACAGTATGTGTGTGTGTGTGCATATGAAGAAGAGGGCAGCTCAAAGCACTGAGATTGTGTCGGGTAAATATAGTCTTCGGGAAGCCACACGTTCTGCACAAGCTTTTAAAAGGCCTCAGGAATTTACATCTGTGTGTTATTCCTGACTGTTCTATGTCTTGACCAGAAAACTCTCTCCATATAAACTCCACCCGCTCAACCTCCAGTGCTGAGGCCACTCCAAAAGCCAATGACACAATGACAAAAGCCTCATCACACAAATACTCTCATCAGTGCTCTACAGCAATCTATAGCTTCCATTTTACTTCCCAAAGACAAAAAAGCATCACTTTAATTGTACCAGAACTTATATTTAGATTGGATTTGAATTGAAAGTGAAGAAACACAACATCACTGAGGCAATTGAAACAATTTTTCCCATTGAAAACACCACATCTGTGTATGGAACCTGTTAAAAGTTTGGATACTATTGACTCAATTTCAATTTCTCTCATTGGTCTCATGATCTTAAATACCATTTGATCTAAATCATGTTTTAAAGATACATAAAAAGCTAAACAATAAAGGACCTGTTTTCACCTGGTCACTTCATGCGTTTTTACTGATCGGATAGCTATCTGATTTGTTAAAACGATTCCATTTAAACCTGCAAAACAGACATATATATATATACACACAATCTTTAATTCCAGCACTATAAGCAGGAGTTCACATCAACGAAAGCAACAGATATGAGCTGCATTTTATTTATCATCAGCTAAATTCAAGATCAAAGACCGCAATAGGAGAAAGAGCAGTGATCAGCACTGGTAACGTGTTATATAGCCTATAACATGCTCTCACACGTTTATTTATTTTTTTACCATTTCGGGAGGAGTAAAATTTACAGTAAAAAGGAGTAAAATGTGGTTTCAACAACCAGATGCATTTACATTTGTCCAGTTTCATCTGGAATGTGTCTCAGACCACCTCCTGAAGGGGTTTGAGTGATCGGGTTTAGGAGAGAATTTACATAGCTATCCGATCAGAGAAAACGCATGAAGTGACCTGGTGAAAAAAGCCCTGATAGTTTTGACTTAACCCGTTATTGCGCACTACATGATTTCCATACACTTCTGTTTAAAAGTTTTACACTTCTGTTGAAATGTTTTCAAAGTCTCTTAACACCAAGCCTGCATTTATTTGTTTCATTTTAAAACATTATAGAAGTTTATCAATTAAAACATGTAATTGTAATGTAAATGTAAAAAACGTGTCACTTGATCCTTTAGAAATCATTCTAATATTATGATTTGGTGCTCACAAAAAATTATTATCAATGTTTAAAAACAGTTGTGCCGTTTAATATTTTTGTGGAAACCATGATACATTTTGTTTTTCAGAATTATTTGATGAAAAGAAAGTTTTAATTTGCATTATTTGAAATGGAAATCTTAAGCAACATTATAAGAGTCTTTACTGTCACTTTAATGTCATTTTTGATCAATTTAATCCTTCTTGAATAAAAGTATTAAAAACTAACTGATGCCAATCTTTTAAACAGTAGTGTATCTCCATTTTTGTTATTTCATAGTTTGATGATAAAACTAGTACATAATAATAAACGAGTAGGTGTGTCAAAACTTCTGACAGGTACTGTAAACACACATGCTCAGACATACCAGCCTCTCCATTTCCTGCTCGCGCATCCTTTCCTCTCTCTGCCAGCGATGGTACTCCAGTAGGTCTTCCTCTTTGTCGCTGACCTCTGAAATGCTGTTCTTGCGTTCCCGTGTGCGCGTCTGGACCTGCCGAGGCTCCCTTGAGTTCTTTCTCTGGTTACGGGGACTAGTGAGAGGAGATGCCCCTGTCTGAGAGCCAAAAGCTGGGTTGAGACCACCGTTCTGCTTTCCGCCAGGCTGGTCCTTCAAAAGAGCTGATACAGGAGATGGACTTCTGGCGTGCAATCTCATATTTCCTGCTTCATCCTCTGCTGTGGTTCGTCGTTGGAGACGAGGACTCTCTGGTACAGTCCGGCCACGAGAGGTCAAAGGAACACTAGGTAGAGCTCCAGGGAGAACAGGCACCCCAAGGACACCTTTGCGTGATGCAGAGGGACTGAGAGGAGGAAGTTGACGCATACTAGACAATTCTACACCACGGCGGGACGACTGGGGACTGTCTGGAGGAAGGAGTGCATGAGAATGGGACTGAAGACTAGAAGAATTTTCTTGGACTGATGAGCCAACACTGGATCGAGGGCTAGAAGATGCCGGTGAGGATGAGGAGGGGAGTCTGGTATTGACCTGTCTGCTTAAATCTCCAGATGCAAATGATAGTAACGAAGAGGAGGAACCATGGGCCAGGTGTGGATTCTCACCTCTACGGTTTGTAGCAGGGCTTGAGGGGGTTTCAGTCAAGGCTTTTTGAAGCCTGGGACTTTCTTGATCCTTTAGTCCCCCATTGGAACTGCTGGCCTTGGATGCAAAAGTGCGTGGTTGTGGCACCGGGGGCTGGACGGTGTGGGTGTAGCTGGTGGAACGGGTATTGGAGGAGTCCAAACAAGCCCCTGGACTGCTAACCACAGAGGAGGTGGAGATGGGGGAGAAAGGAAGACTGGTTTTTTCATAGCTGGAGCTTACTGAAAAAGCACCAGGACTGGTTGGAGGTGAGACAAGACTGTGGCCACCCCCGTTGAGCATGGCAGACTGTGAAATGGGGTGGCGGGCTTTTTTACAGTGCTCAGATGAGGAAGTCTGGCCTTCATCCATAGACAGAGAATTCATAATGTCTTGAAGGTCCTTTTCAATAGACCGCACAAGAGTGCCATGTCCAGGACGAGATCGATCGTTCACAGGAGGATGGTTTCCATTGAGCTGCCCATGGGTTTCTGTGGAGAGTAAAAAACATCAATCGATTACCTTAAGTATTAATATATAATTAATATGTATCAAATGTAGAAGACTCATACAAGATATAGACCAGGTTAACAAAATGTAGGATATTTAAAAAATATATATACACTACAGTTCAAAAGTTTGGGTCAGGAATGTTTTATTAATATCTATCTATCTATCTATCTCTATCTATCTATCTATCTATCTATCTATCTATCTATCTATCTATCTATCTATCTATCTATCTATCTATCTATCTATATATCTATATATATATATAAGACTGGAGTAATGGCTGCAGAAAATTCAGATTTGCCATTACAGGGAAAAAATTACATTTTAAAAAAACTGTAACTGTAATAATATTTTACAGTATGAGTGTTTATACTGTATTTTTGATTAAATAAATGCAGCCTTGGACATTTTTTAAAAATCTTACCGACAGTCAAACAGTGAAACAGACAGTGCAGTCAAATGTCCAGGTCTGGTGTGTATTCTGTTTAAATGAGTGTTCACTCGCACATGCTTGTTGTGCTTTGTGGAGTTTTGACGTGTTTTATAGACATCTTCCTGCGCCCCTGGTCAGAACCATATTTCACTCATACCACTTGTGCTCTACATCCATGCAGGACGTGGCTGGGCATAATGCATACAAACCCACACCTCCCCCTCCCTTACACATATGCTCTACTGGGTGTGTCTCTCAGACTGCGGATGGCATGAATCCCACCCTCGGCCCAAAGGTCACAGCAGACAGAGGAGAATAGAGGCTGAATTACGGCATGACTCATTTTGCGCACTCAAGACCAGCTGAACGCACTCAATTCTGTTCACTCTTTGCAGCCAGGGCCACTGGTGCACTAACCACACAATAAACACATTATTTTATGTAAGCAGGAGCTGCTTTTATGTGCTCACATCACATAAGTTAAGTGACCCTTTTAAGGACAGGTCATTTTATTTTAAAATATACAAGAAGAAATGTTTGTTACTGTAATTTTACCAATCAAACATGTAGTTCTTTAGATATTTAGGGTAACACACTTCTACTGTCCACCAGTCAGAGCAGAAGTTGCACTGCAAGTTTGCTTTTTTGAGAGGCCATTCAATTATGTTTTGTTTTTTTTATCCAGTGATGAAAGTGGCTAAGAATTGATAAGAAATGAAATATTTTAAAATTGAATTATTAATAAATCAAGTGAAACCTGAAAATAAGATGAATTTCATGAGAATGTCAAACTCTGGAACACTACCTGAATGATGGTTACAAAGATAGATGTGGCAGAAACATCAAAAATGAATAAAAACTGTAAATAAACAATCAACCACTAATTGCCATCGTGTTATGATGAATTTGAATTATAATCAAAATGTACAATACATGATTTCCAATTTCCCAAGTATAGATCAGTATCCTTACATCAGACCAAAGAACATGTCATTTCAATGTTTGTTTGTTTTTTACAATACTGAATGAAAGAGCTTTAGGGTCACTGACAAACTCTGATGCACCAGGCCGTTACCCCAACACTAGCCTCACAACAATGTGATATTCATCACTGTCATGGGTCACGTTCCTTTAAATGTCCAATTTGGTGTTCAAGGGTTTTAAACTAACAGGGTCAAAGCCAGGGTCTCTCAACAGGGGCTTTCCAGCAGTTGACAGAGTGCCTGTGGCAATTTAAATTCCCATTCTTTTCAAAGAAGTTGTTTCTCCTCCAAGGATCTCACTTCCTGGTTTCTAGACTATTTGAAATGAGTCATTGCTGAATGAGTGAGAGCAGGGTTTAAAATGGGCAAAGATACAGCTGGAGTTTTCTCCAATAACATGGATATTAAAAGAGGCAGGATTAGGCCAAGTTATTTTAGGCAGATTTGTGTCACCTGAGCAGTGTCTGGAACTTGTTATAATTATCTAGGGTACAATGCCTCTCTGTGCCCCTTTTGCCATAACGTTTAGGAATTAAATCAACGGAACGCATACCATTATTTGCAAATGTAGCTCTTCCTCTCTTTTTCTGAGTGCCTTCAGCAACTTTAACTCCCCACAGCACAGTATCCAGAGCAGTTCTTATACTACCAGATTTTAGGTCAGTGTAATTTTGCTTCTGCTTAAATACCTGAGTGGTTCTTGTAGGTACTGGTAAATCCAGAGCTTCCACCTGGCATCAAACTCTTCATCCTGAGGGCCTCCTCTGGGTGGTTAAAGCGGAAAAAGGCTGACTGACCAAAACACAGCATACACCCTGAGAAAAAGAATCATGTGTGGTAGATAATCAAAAAAATGCTTTATGATGAAACTTCTAAATGAATTGGTTTCATTCAAGTTCACAATAATACTTAAAAAAAACTACTGGGGATTTAGATCAGTCTTTAATTCAGTTTTTTTTAAAGGAGTAAAAGCCCAAAAACGGAAACTGTTGTAATATTGGTGATATTTTCTGTGACCTTTTTCACCAACCCTGAATGGAGCATGGGCATCTTATATGCCTCTAACTGCTAAAATTGTAATAATATCTTCATAAATATGACTTCATTCTTTCAAGGTAATCTAGAGCATCTGAATGAAACAAAACAAGGGTGTGGATGGAACAGTAAAGCCAAACAAAAATCAATCAGTACAAGTCACACACACAGTGTTTGACTGGCCTGAACCATGTCCTTCTTTACATGCTTTATTGAAACTCATATCACGGCTTATCTTGCCATATCACAGGAGTTCAAACAAAAAGATTAAACTGAGTTTGTCTATTCGTAGCAAACACATATATACCTCCTATACATTCATATTACCTTGTCCTCTGCCCTTATGAAATTTCTGTGATTAATGGGGCAGAGGGATCAATGCAGACTCAGAGTCGTCTGTCAAAATACCAATGAATTATGACCCAGACTTCCATTTCATAATGAACATTGGCACAGAAAGCACAGAGCGAATATAAGATCAGTATGACTCATTGCTGACTTACAGCAGAGTGGAGGACAGGATATGAAATGCAACACTGTGAGCTCCACTTAACGCCATGCCGTTATTCTAATGAAAATGCAGACCCTCTTTTTAACACTGCTCACCTCTGTACCTATACCACTATGTCTTTGTTTCTGAATTGTCAGTCTTTTCTAAATGAAATAGTTTTCCATATTATGATGTCAAAGCTGAACCTACAGTGCCCATGTTTTGTTTGTTTTTTCCCACATATGGGCACATAGGCTAGACGAAAACAAGATGTAGCGACATATTTAAGAAAGAACAGACTGTAATATTTTAGGAATCAAAATAACCTTCTAACAATTCAGCACTAACATTAATACTGGGGGCCATTAATCACAATATATCTGGTGGTTATGGGCCAGCCTGAGCATTCACTCAGAGAAATAAGTAAATATATAAAATGTATAAAATATTTGTGTACAGTTTGTAATCTTTATTAAAAAAATGTGGTGGGTATTATTAGGGTATCACATTATTAGGTCAAAGCACTGACGACAGACTATAACCTCTATTATTTACACAACTAAAAGACTAAACAATCACACAGACATATGGCACAAGGGGGCATCAGAGGGGTCATGCTGGGCATAATGAGGTCAGAAAAGGGTTTTGTAGTAATCAAGGAGATATGACAGGATAGGACAGATAGCACAGTGCTGTTTTATCATCACTATTATAAGTCTCATAATAACAAGGCTGACATAGTTTTAATGCGTTTTGATAGCGTTCTCAGAAAGTTCACGAAAGCATTAATAATAGTCTGTTTTTAAGCAGAAGTGTGTGGAGAACATAAAATAATATTTCAGTTATATCGATCATAACTCTATTTACTACACACATAACTGACTGAAAAATGCAAGTTAATACGGCACGATATACAATTAAGGCTATTGTAAAGTTAGGCTATGCTATATTTAACACAGTCAAATAGTTTAGATGTTTGATAAATAAAATCACTTAGTTCCATATGTCTTTCTTTGATCAGACACGTACTTTAACGAACACAACGGGATTAGTAAACGTTCGTTGGTTAATCAATAGACTACGGTGTCTTTGGAATAGGCTAACAGCAACTATACAGCTTAACAAGCAAATAATTTGTAAAATATTGAAGATAAAGCCATTTCACCTACCAGGTTTGGGACACACAAACTCAAACTGATATCCAATCGTTTGGAAACCGCTGAGAAACGGTGGACAGTATGTTGGTGGACGCACTCGCACGTCGCGCGGAGTAAAGAGCGATGAGCGCGTGGGTCTGTCCGCAGCTTTTGTGATGTAAATGTCAAGCGCTACGACAGCGCGTCCACTCACTGACTTCTATTACAACACAAAACAGCACAGCTGTCACCTGCCCGACTGTCATCGCCAGTCCAAAGAAAACGGACAAGCAGTTAATACAACAAAGTGTCCGACATCCGGGGAATTTAAGATAGGCTATAGCCTAACTTTCTTTCCTCCTGTGGCGAAAATCTGGACTTCGCGGATGTTCAAGTTACTTTTAATGCAACTCGAAATTTTAGTTAATATGAGAAGAAAAAAAAAGGATAGGCATTAAGCCTGTTCAGGACTATAGACCCCTCATCAAGACAAATGTATTGGAAGTCGCATGGGTGGCACGTTGGACAGCTGTCCTCGCGCCGGCTGTCTCAAGTTATTGTCATGCACAGATCGCGATCAGGGGGGCGTACTGCAAATGAGCTTATCTGGATGACTATCCCTTGATCACTAACGGTCGAACTGGTTATAAATAAATTAGGTGACTCTTAGCAAAAGTAAAAAAGAAATGCTTAGTTGTCCCATAAAGGCTTGAAATAAGCTAACTTAATAGGCTACATTTGTTTAGGCTACAGCTATTGTTGACAAGATGAAACTTGGAGAGAATAGAATCCAAAATAAACAAAATATCACATTTCTCTGTTAGAATCACACTTCCCCAATGTATAGAATTAATACAGAGCAATGAGATTCAAGAGTGCCTGAAATAGCACAACGTACTAGGGCAAGGTCAAGTTCTTCAAATGGAAGTTCAAACAAGTCCTCATCATTATCATCGTGCAATTTCCTGGCCCGTGTATAACACAAATACACACTGATGTGATTCCCAAAGTGGACAGCCTGAAATAGCTCTAAAGAGTAGCATAAGGTCAAGTTTTTTTAAAAGGATATTCAAACAGACCCTTATCATTACTAACACAAAGTGGTTACACAATTATATTTGTTTTGAAAATGCAATCTTATCCGTGCTAGAAATGGTTAATATCTGATGTAGTCAGCTTGCGTTTCATAGAAGGTTCACTGAATTAAAGCAAAGGCCTCTGTTATTGATTTGCAGGCTGAATCTATTGAATAACTGTCAAAAGATTTATAGTGAACCATCAGCTGGACACACTGTTCTTTCTTTCTTTCCCATTTTGTAACCTATTCAACATATATTGAACTAATGCTGGGGTAATAGCAACTTTAAAAGCCCATTGCTTACCTTGTGTGAGTCTGACAGGTTTGGTAACTGCTAAGCCATCCAATGAGCACTGATTTCCACAGGGGTACAGGGTAATGGCTCTCCCCACATTTTCAATGTAGCAATGCTGAGCAGTGACACCGGGACCCTGAATATTAATGTCTGTGTTCCCATGGCCGAGTGTAGTCTTCCCTACAACAACGTGATGGAGATTTATTAATACTGATTATTGCTACATTGCTGTACTTTAATTAGTTTCAAGAATTAGAAAAAAAAAGCTTTTTTTCATGCATATGAAATGCTGAAATGCTTGCAACAAAAAGGACACATGGTTTGTGTTCCCTTCTTTAACAAAGACAGGACAGCCCCCAGCCCCCCCCCCCCCCAACATTGTGAAGCAACAGGGGGTTGTCAAAGTCAGGTCATATAGCCCCATAATCCTGTCTCTTGTTCTAAAGCCACTGCCATCATGAATGCAATTTACAAGATACAGCTGAAACCTCAATACTCCTCAAAAAAACAAAATCATAGATCCATCATATATGTATGTATGTAAGTTTGTATGTTTACAGTATAATTAATTATATAGGCTACAATAATTAAATCCATCCATATTTAATTAATTATATAGGCTACAATAATTAAATCCATCCATCCATCCATCCATCCATCTATCTACGTGAGCACAGGAAATTGTGTATTCAATCCCCTATAAAATGATTCGCTGATGAATACTGCACTAAATTGACTTCCTCTGGGATTTATACTTGAATGCTTGCTCTCATTCTTCCTCAATGTCAGGGGATGAGAAGTCCTCTATTTGTCATTCTTCATGAGATGAAGCATAGCCAAGCTTTGAGGACAGTGCAGTGATATTTGTCCTCTCTCATGAACTTCCCACCCATTACCACATAAAAACACAAATTTACTGATCTTAATTTGGAGTCCCCAGTTTTTCAATTGGCATCCCTTCTGTCTGTGTGATCATATAATTAGGTCTCAGAATTTGAAAGAATCATTGCCACTAAACACAAATTCCACAGCTAACCACATCCTTAGTCAAACGACCATGTTTGCAATTTAGCAGATAGAATCTGCTGGGGGATACTTCATGAGGGTATTATATTCAGTTACTTTTTAAGGTGACTGAACTTACCCTCTGGCAGGGGCAGCAGAGTTATAGCCGTACTCAGACGGCCACTTCCCAAGCTGACAAGATGGGGCCGTTCTGCCTGGACTTTGAGAGTCTTGCCTGTTTCAATCAGGTCCAGCGATGTGCTCTGTGAATATATGAGGACAATACATTAAATCAACAACAGGGTCATTTTTTACAGCCTTTGATCACCATTAAAGTGACTTGTACTTTTTGGACGACTGCTCAGGGTTCCCCAAACAGGATTAGTGTAATTCAATTAGGACCATTGAGTATTGCAGCGGCAGGGTAAGAGGCTAACTGGCTAAACGGGTTTAGCTCCATCAGGTACCACCATGCAGGCTAAGAGGCTAACAGGATTTAGCTGTTAGATGAAAGACAAGGGACCAGGCCGATAAATGACCAAAGGAGGAACATATTTGGCCTCAGCATGTCACAGATGGAGGTTCCCAAGGGCAGCACAGGGTTTATCAGCTTGGTAAATCACACTTTGATATTTGAGAGAGTGACGAGGCACTGCACTACATCAAAACAAATGGTAGTTCTTTTTTTTTTTTAAATAGTATCTTTAGATGATGTCAGAAATCATACAGGCTATGATGCACAGGATTTTAGAAAGGAACTGAAGAGCAACCAGTGGCTGATAGGGTATGGAAATGTCACATCCATCTCTTTTCCACATCTGGGATGTAAAACACTAAGTGCCAATAGCGCTGAAAAGGCATAGAGAGTTATTTTTGCGGTTGACTTTATTGTATGCATTTGTTAGAGTTTCCCTTTTCCTACCAAAATTAGTGGGAGGAGAGTATTTAAATAAATCATGCAACGTGATTTAGTAAGGTTTGCGCTAGTCAATTTAATGGTATTTGCGCCATTATTTACTGGCCAAAATAAGCATGTCTTAAACCAGATGCTAATTTGCACTGCTCTTGATAGATTGCGTTGGTCATTAAGGAAATGATCCGGCTGTGTCTGTGTTCTTTAATTTTGCTCGTTGTCAGTAGATCACGTCAGCATGAACTCTCCACTCCCATCTGCGCTTTTTTGGAATTGCGCTAATTTGCCCCGTTTAGTAAATCTGGCCCTAAATTAACTAGAAATGGACTGGCCATAGGGAGGATGTATGCAGTGGGCCTTTCTTAAACATACTTCTATACAAAATGAACATTTACAGATTTTGAAAAAGTTAGAAATTTCTTTTCTTTTTGAAAAAAGGGAAAATGTTCTGACATCATCAGGCCTACCTAATTTAAATTACAATGCAAAAACTGATATGTTTAGAAATCAAAATACAGTCAAATCCAAAAGTTGCATTGAATGCATATGTAATATATATATAGTGGGGAATTATGGATTACACGGGTTGTGATTGTGATACAGGCATATGTCCTTGGTTGCTTTTCTGTCCCAACCTAGCCCTGGTAAGAATGGACTTCACCCCTCTTTTGAACTTTCACACCATTCAAATAAAGCTTTTACACGTATTTAAAGTGTCTTCAGATGTCATCTTTTTAGGGTCTAGCGCTAGCGTCCATAGAAATAACCTTTAAAACTGAACATGAAGCTTTCAATAACAATGTATAAATTCTTTTTAAAGTGATTAAATGTCAATGTAGTTTGTTTTAGCTTTCATATCTTATCCTGTCATCTCCTGATAATAGGGCTCCATATAAAGCTGCCACACAGTTTCCATTGTCCTCTGACATTTTTTTTCTACACACAGCTCAGTTGTTTGTGTTTCTCTCTCTCTCTTTCTCTCTCTCTCTCTCTCTCTGTGTGTGTGTGTGTGTGTGTGTGTGTGTGTGTGTGTGTGTGTGTGTGTGTGTGTGTGTGTGTGTGTGTGTGTGTGTGTGTGTGTGTGTGTGTGTGTGTGTGTGTGTGTGTGTGTGTGTGTGTGTGTGTGTAAAATCAACTTCACTAGTGAAGTTTTAACAGGTGCATTGAACTAACTTAGGCTTGATGTTTTTGAGACCCTGTAATGTTTGATATAGGTGGAACACAGTGCAGTGTTTGAGCAAGATTAAATGCAGACAGAAAGGCTGGACTCAGCCTCTCGGATCAACAGTGATGAAAATTAACCCTATAATTAGGGAACATTTCACCTCTTAATTTCAAAGTTCTGCAGACTCCACTTTTAGGTGACAAAACCTAGTTATGCATGAACTATTTGTCTATTGCACCAGATGTACTATAACGAAATGACAAAATAAACTATATTCTGCTTTTAAAATATTTTAAAGACAATTAAAAAATTAAAACAAAAGTAAATGGATTTTACACACCACTTTTCAAAAGTTTGGGGTTAGTAAGATTTTATAAAATGAAATTAATAGTTTTATTCAAGGATGAATTTAACTGACCGAAAGTTACAGTAAATATATTTATAATGTAACAAAATATTTTTTATTTCAAATCAATTCTGTTCTTTTTCTATTTGTTAAAAGACTTCCACAAAGATAAAACCTTTTTCAACATTGATAACAATAAGAAATGTTATTTTAGCACCAAACCATATTAGAATGATTTCTGAAGGATCATGTGACAATGAAGACTGGAGTAATGATGCTGAAAAGTCAGCTTCGCCATCACAGGAAAAAAAAATTTGTTTTACAGGTTTTTTTTCTCACTCTATTTAGATCAGTTCTCAAATGAAATTCAGAATTCTGAGCAATTAGTTTCTTTTTTCTGATTTAAGCAAATTGTATGTTTTGGCACATGTGTGCAAAAGAGCAAGTATAATTGTCTACAGTTTGCACAATAAATAAATACATGGCTTTGTTGATCAAAACTGATTAGTTGATTAGTGCAACTGTCAAACACTGCCCAACTTCTAAACATTCCTTGATTGTGTGAGCCATCAAACTCAAAATGATCCATTCATTTATCAAAATCTGTCAGACATGCATGTTTATTCCATAAATATCCGACATGGAATGTGTGTACTGTCTGCTAAATTGGCAAATGGCCTTCAATTGGAATGAAATTGGAATCACAAACTTACCAATCAACCAATAAAGTTCGGAAGCATATGGATTTGCTCACAGCACAATCACTACCAGTTTTAACATGGAGGAACGTCACAACCCTAAACAGCAGCTACAGCAGTACTTTAAAAAAAAAATTCTAGTAATGTGTTACATGTTAACTAAAAATTCTCAGTTGCTTGCCATGGAAGAGCAAAATAAGAAGATATAAGAAGGCATGGTGGTGATAGACATAAGTGTAAAAATTAATAAGCAACTGTGAATTTTCAGTCTCATTTCTACAAAAATATACATAAAAATAAATACACTGTATAAATAAAAATGTTCATTTTCTTTTTGTGCACTACAGTATTGACTTTTTTTTCCTGTTGAAATGTGTATCTAAAAAAGCTCAGTGTGATACACAAGTGCATTCAGCTATAGACAAAACTGGCATTCTTGTATAGTAAAGAAAGCAGCCAGTCAACAAAAATATAGAATTTTTTTTTGAATATATAACAAATATTTGCATGGCGAAAAAACATCTAAACATTTTGACCAGTGTGGCTCAAATGACAAAAACACTTTTTATTTTGATGGCATTGGCCACTTTACTAACACAATAATATAGGGTTTGAAGGATGAATGAAATGTTTTGGACGAGTTACTACATTTTGCAGACATGCTATGAGTTCTGATGTTGCAGGAAACATGTTGGATTTACAGTCTAGAGAATATTAAGACTGTTTCGAAAAATGTGCCAAAGCGATAAAAACACGTTTTTTTTTGTTTTTTTTACAATATTACAATTTACGGTATTTTTTTTAATCAAATACAGCCTTTGTGAGAATATTAAGAGACTTCTTTACAAAACCTACAAAAAAATCTTACAGACCCAAAACTTTTGAACAGTATTGTGAATGTATGTATATATACAGATCACACACTCACCTGTAAGACCCGATGAGTCAGATGACCATGTTCTGGAACGTTCTGATTCAGCCTGTCCATGTCTATGGAGTTATCAATCACTTCATGACATTTGTCAAGATCCTGCTGGAAATACAGAGATAATACAGAGTTGTATAATACAAACCCAGATAATACAAACACACACACCCAGACTCGGAGTGAACAGATGCAGCCAATTATCTATGGTAGACACAGGCACATTAGCGTGAACAAACTAGAGCAGACCTCAGGTCAGCACACTTCACAGCAGATCAGTCATTTAGGAACATCCCTAACCTGAAACCCCCCTCTCCCTCCTTCCCTCACCTCTTTTACGTCCCTGACTCATGCCACTGTCTCTCAGACAAAACACATTGGGAATCACAGAGAAACAGACCCACAAGACAAACTGAACATCAGGTTCTGTGTGTGTGCGTATCAGTGTAATAATGGCCAATGAGAATCAGTGAGGGGAATTTTCAGCTATAATAGGGAATGTCCTCTGAACTTTGGTTCTCTCAAACATCAAGGTCCTCTCAAAGTTATGAACAAACGTTCTTCTAGTAACGTTCATTCAAAGTGATCTTTTCTTAAATAACATTATCAAAGAAAAATGATAAAATAGAGAAAAAAGTCCCTTAATGTTTTCTCTAATGTTCATATAATCAAGAAAAAACAAAAAAAATCAGTTAAAAAAATTGATGTTTTGAATGTTCTGAGAACATACAGAAATAACGTTTTCAGTCATAAATTAATGGGAACATTAAACATCCTTGGAACATATTTTGTTAGCTATTTTGTTAGGTGACCACTAAAAGTAGCGAAGCTATTAGTAAAAGGGGTCATATAATGGTACATGCACTTTTACAAGTTGATTGTACTGAAATGTGTGTTGGCAGTGCCTGTACACAACCATCATAAAATGATAAAAATCCATCCAGTGTTTTTGTTTTAATCTCCTTATATGTTTTCCCCTGCCTCAAATTGAGCCGTTCAATTTTGTGACGTCACACGCTCGGAAGCCTCGCCCACGATTGTTGATTGACAGGAGCGTTTCAACACAGACCCGCCCTCGCTCGTGAGGGAGCTGTCAATCATAGTCTGCGCGGACCGGCGCGGTCATTGTTGATATGCTGGAGCACTGTCTATGAGCAGAATGGCGTCTAAGCGATTGTGGTGTTCTGTTCTTGGGTGTAATAACGAACACACCAGTCATTTTAATGTTCCTAAATCCGAACCGCTGCAGACGCAGTGGCTGGGTTTGTTTTCGAAGGGAATATTCCCCACGAGCAACGTCAATCCTTTCATGTTTGCGCGAATCATTTCTCACCAGACTGCTTTATAAACGAGGGTCAGTATAAAGCTGGTTTTGCTAAGAAGCTGCTCATGAAAAAAGGATCGGTACCAGCTATTCGTGTTCCTGCTGAACCTCTAGAACAACTGAAGTGAGTGTAACGTTTTATTAAACTTTATTAATAATATTTATATTAATCTTTGCAAATCGCTTGCACGCTTCACAATGAATGCGTCTAAGGTTTACACTTAGGGTACATTACGCCATGTTTTCTGATGTTCTCAATATAATTCATAATCCCACGTTTATACTGAACAACGCGTTATGGTTATTGTGTTATTGAGTTACAAACGGTGTACGCACAGAACAGAGAGGCGGAGTCAGCAAAGCTCATTATCATTTAAAGTCATATGCACTGAAACGGCGTGCTGAAAACAGCTGTTTTTGACCAAGTAAAATAAGTGTTTTCTTACAATACTAATGAGAATTTTTAATTAAAGTATATAACAAACTTTTAATTTAGACCCTAAAGAATCATACTAGTTTGAACAAAATGGCATTATATGACCCCTTTAAACTACATTTCTCAGTAGCAAGGTGGTGATGTCACTTAAACTGTTTTAAGTGACACACACACTGTTACGGCTGTTTACAATCAGAACAAGTGACTCAGATTCAAAAGAGTCATTTATTCAAAATCAGAATAAGCTTGTTCTGATTCTAAACATCCAACAGAAAATTCTGTAAAAACTTTAAGCGATTCGGAATGACTCTTTTAAATGGGTTCTTTTCAACCATCCGAGTCATCGAAATCACAAGTAATCAGTTTTATCTATAAGAAGCTTTTAGCTTATAGTTTTCATCTTAGCTGAGCTATAGAGTAGTTTGTAGCTTAACTACATTCAACATTTACAGTCTGGCACACCAAAACATCAAAAACAGAATTTTCCGTATGTGTTTGTATCTTTGTACATAATGGTCATTGAGGATCAGTGAAGAACAATAACGTCAGTAAAAGTAGCAAAGCTATTGAACAAAATTTCTCAGTAGCGATGTGGTAGCAACATTATTCTTAAAATCATGTAACTTTGCGACACTATTTTATTGATTAATAATTTGATTTGGCAGTTTATAATCAGTGCAAAATTGCTTGTTCTGACACTAAACAGCCAACAGAAAATACTGTGTTGTAGCATTTCACCACACTACATTTTTCTTGACAATATTAAACAATAAAGACAGTATTCCTCTGTAAGTGCTTTTGATTTAAAACAAATTAATCTTTTGGATCGTAATCACGTGTTCTGATAATTGTAATACGAAAATTTATATTAATATATTCGTTTGTTTCTCCTCGGTTAAATTTTTTCTTAACATCAATGTAATAAAAACAACCGTTTACATGAGTTGTTGTGAGAGAGGTTATCCTATGGGTTTGAAAGCCAAAACTGAGTGAGTTTAAGGCAAGGCAAACTCTTTCCTCTGCTGGCATGTCCAGTCAGGGAAACGACTGGAATGTGACGCTTCGCTTCTCCAAACAAGCGAAGACAGGTTATGTGGTGCATGCATATAGATTAGGATGATGATGGACATTTAGTCTTTAACTCAACAGCTGGTACAAAACCAAACTTCCTCTTTTTCTCCTTCCCCTAGCTAACCTCTCTCTCCCTTTCATTCCTGATGTCATGTTTGCAAGTGCAGCTGGCAAGTGCTGCAGGCCTACCGCCTCTCACAACCACGTCCAGTGTGTGACAGAGGGAAAAGAGAACAGAAAGCCTCTGTCACTATACTGAATATGGTCACTGCTCCCACCATCACACACACACACACACACACACACACACACACACACACACACACACACACACACACACACACACACACACACACACACACACACACACACACACACACACACACACACACACACACACACACACACACACACACAACTGGACAATACAGACACACTGACATTAATGCATACATATACAGATTCCTTGATTCAAATATACTTGCACACAAATAAACATAACACATAAATATACACTTGATATCAGTTCAACTGGAGCATTTCATACCGGTAAGTGGCATGCCTCTGAAACGTGTCATTAAGACTGCAGTTATGCCACTGTGTCCTGCCCTCTGCAGCAGAAAATAGACTCAACCACATAGCACAAACCACAAAGCTCCTCTTACAGGGGTTATAATCATACAGGCTACACACACACACACACACACACACACGTACACGTGTAGCAGTATGTTAGAGTTACGGTAAGTAAGGAAACCACAGCAGGAACATACAGCTAATATAACAGTACAGCTAAATGTAGCATGAGCAGTTGGTGAATCTGGGAAGCAGAAATCAAAAACTGTAAACTTGAAGGCCTAGCGACTTGTTAATCCTCTGAAAAAAGTTAAATCACACTGAGATTTAAAAAATCTTTTATAAGAAAATCACAACCAAGAACAAGAAAAATAAAAACAGTTAATTATCCCACATTAAATAAATTAAATATATATATTCTATTATTAAAATATAGAATTTTTATTTAAAATGTTTTTAATAAATTAAATAAAAAAAATTATATTTTAAGTTTTTTGATTATATGGAATGTATAATAATTTTGAGTTACTTTTGCACTCGGCATTAAACTGATAAATACTAAGCAATTGATATAGTGAAACATTTACTCTACATTTCTTGAGTCATAGCAGCCAAAAATCAATGCAGTAGTAAAATCAACCAAAGAAACTTATTTAGAGTTTGTAGACATACCAAATACCAAGTTCTTAAGAACCCATAGGCAACATCAAGCCCACTCACCATATTTTTAGCCCAAGAAAGACCCGCTCTGTTGCTGCATGGCCTTGTTTACTGACAGTCTCTGTGCTATGTCCTGTTTTTACGCCTTTGAGCCTTTGGTTGACCGTCTACAGTCCAGCTCTTGCTGTTTGTTTGTCTCTGCTGCTCACTCATGTCTCTTACTGAATGTTCTGAAGTTTCTGAGGACAGAATTAGTACCGCCACAGCTGGGACAGAGAGAGAGAGAGAGAGAGAGAGACAGAGATGGATAGAGATAGAAAGCACAGGAAGAGGAATCCACATAAAAAAAGTCTGTCAGAATCCAGGTGTGCGGTCCGTCTTTCCAAACACCCCTGAATAATCGTCAAGTTTATGTCTAAATTTAGAAAGATAAATCACGAGTGACTTTACAACGTCTATCTACAACGATTTATCTACAACGTCATGCAAAGGTCATCTTCTGTGAGCTTATCTCCCCTGTTTACTCGTATGCAGCTTACTGCTCAAAAACATGCTACACATACTTTTATACTATTATTTTCTCACCCTCATGTTATGAGTTTCTTTCTTCTGTGGAACATTAAAGAGGATATTTTAAGAAATCATTGTTTGTTTGTTTTGTCCAAAACTGGTTACCACAATTCTTCAAAATACCCTCTTTTGTGTTTGTGTTTTTCGGGTAAACTATCCCTTTAAGAATTATATTTGGATGTTAATGTCATGTTTTCATTTTAAAGCAACCGTTAGAAGACAATAGGAAACATCTGATGCATGTGTGGTTGCTATTTTTAAAGAACTGCTGGAATAGTATTAAAAATTGTCAGATCATCATCATTGCAGCAGATGGACTCATTTCGGACAGATTTGAGTTTACATGCACTAGTGGAGGATGGAAAAGTCCTTGATATTCCAGGTGGAGTCCCCCTACTCACTTCCTGTTCTTCCCTCCTCCACAGAGGCAAAACAAAAAATGGTGTTTTCCATTTGATGTTTAACAGCTGCAAAACTGCTGATGTGAGTCACTTTAAGAGTATGTGTTACATTATTAGATTCATTTATGGAAACAAGTTTTTTTTTGTTGTTGTTGTTGTAGTCAACAAAGTTGTCATGGAACTCCTACGCAAACATTTAAGCTTTGTCTCTTAGTCAACATACAACAAAGCAATCCATCACACAGCGAGCCAGACCGATTGGTAATAATCCTAAGAAACATGGGAAAGCCATGAATCAAAGCGCTAGAGAAAAACTTCTGTCTGGTGGAGGACGAGAAAGAAAGACTTTTTTTTTCCATGGCCATTGCCAGTGAGTAAGACAGATGTCAAAAGAGTCCAAACACATAAAAAAAAAAAAACACAAACAAATCTGAACAGCAACTAGGCAACCACAGCTGGAAGATGAGCAGACTCTTCCGGTGTGGGCTCCTAAGCGGGGACTCTTCCTGTAGGTTGACCCTATGATCAAGCTACTCTCTGGGAATAAACAGTCTCCAGCTGCCCCCTTCTCACCCACAACTGAGTAAAAAGGTCAATATGCCTGATAATTTAAAGCAGTCCTCTGTTAAGTGCCTTACTGTTGAGCCAATTTAAGTTATTTATTTGTTTGTTGTCCTCTGGGAGTTAAAATTCCAATGACTTTATGTGAGAAAATGGTTATTCCACCAAGTAGCTTCTAACATTTACGTGTAAGGCATTAGGCTCAGAAGTCTAGAGTGACTCACATGTGAGGCTGCCATGGTCAACACATGGCAAGCACACAAGTTGGAAAGTTAGCTGCTAGATAACTTTCCATATTTCCATGCTGGAGTGCTGTCTTTGACACATGTGATATCAAAGCTAAGCATTTTGGTCTTACTCATAAATTCTTTGACGGCAGGGACATGCTGCTTTAATCTCTTGCAGCATTTTGCAACAGTCTAGTCACTTATTATAGTATCAGAGTAAAGCAACAAGGCGTCAGAAAGATTGACCACAGATCTCACCCCAGAAAACAGTCACGGTGCTTGTGTGGCAGAAATGCCTGAGATCAGAATACTGTTTATAGCAGTGTGTTTGTGAGAGAGTGAGAAAAAAGACTGGATTTGTTTCATTGGCACAGTCGTATGAGAAAATGTCTTAATGTTTTTCAATGCTATCCAAGAGGGAACATTCTTGCATATGGTGCTTTTTTCCTTTTCTTTTTTTAATTAGCAACCATTTAGACTTAAAATATACACATTCAAGTAAGCATTTCCAGTCTCAGGCTGCCTATTTCGGCCAAATATTTCACACTTTTTCACCAGCACATGTTAGAACTGAGTGTGACATCCACATCTTCCATCACACCTGCACTCATACCACTTATTAAAGTCACCATGAAATGAAATTTCATGAAAATACATGTAATAGATCTTATTGTGAATGATTGTGAATGATAAGGTTAATTTTTTTCATGTCATTTTAATTAAAAAATGTTATATAACATAACTCAATCTTAGTGAAAACATCAGACTACTTTTTGGAATGACATTGATAAGACTGAACAAACATTTCAGTTTCAATCCCATGTAAGGGGGAGAAAATCTGAGATCTACTCAGTTTGCATCCCTATATTATCATTCCATGATGTAGTGTTTGTAATTCCTCAAAGGAAGGGAAATGTGAACTCAAGTATGATCGAATAGACAAATTCATGGGTCACTGCAGGTAAAAGAAACTGGATTTATGGTTCAAACAGACAGAGAAAGTAAAATCCCTGAAACTTTAGCAGTAGCTCACATTTGTGGGTTGCCTATATTGGAAGTGCATTTCCGTATAACACTGTGGAGAAGGTAAGCAGCACCTCGAACAAAAGCTGGTGAAGACTGGCCGAGCCAGACTTTTGATTATTGGCATAAATCGATCAGTGAAGCGACTGTGGGCGTGCTGTCTACAGGTGTGAGCTAGAGGTGTGAGCACTAGGAGAAAAGCTTGAGGAATTATGCCATGGTCATTGAATCCTCTTTGGCTCTTTTTTCACCAAGTCAGTGCTGGTGTTCAATTCCCCTTTTTTGTTCCTCCTTTATGTTCTTTTCATCCACTCCCTCTTACCTTATCTCCTTCCAACATGCTAGATTTTCAAGTGAACTTTTATGCGCACGTTTTTTGTATGTTTGTTTGTTTGTTTTAAACACACAATTAGGCTACACTTCCAGCAATCGTGGATACATCAAACTCTGGGTTGGATTCATTCCACTGCCTGGCGTCTCACGTTATTAAATGCGAAAACGCGTTCCATGTGAATTATCCCTAAGAAAAGAGAAACTTACTGCTCCAAACAAAGTGACTTTGTTTGTGTTTGTTTGAATGAGTCAGTGTTTTGAACGAATTGGTAGATTGTTTGATTCAAGGACTCACTCAAAGGCTATGTCCCAATTCAAAGCCTGCATCCTTCAAAGGACTCCCCGTAGCCATAGCCCACTGTTTTTCGCCTACTATATAGTAGGGAAGTATCCAGGTTCATTCCCTCGATGTCATAATTACCATAATGACGAGATTTGAAAAAGGTCGGTAAAAAGTGTCAAAAGATCCCAACTCTGACTTGTAGCCTACCATGTGACCGCTATACCACCTGACCGCAGCAGATTCTTTTTGGTGTTGATAGTTTGCCATACAAAGGCATTATTACGAGTCCGAGAACAGTTCCTATAGCTGAGTAGAACGTCATGTGTTGTGATCTCTTAATTACGGTAATTACGCTGCATTCACGTGCTACCAGAAATTTCCTATACTTTCCATTTCTGATGTCGTGATTACGAGCTCGTTGCTTTCAAGTGCTTTGTCAGATAGAAATCATGGAGGACACCAGGTTTATTCTAGCCTATTTCTTAGGGAAATCTTATTAAAAGCCAACATGTACTGAAGATATTTACTTTTTTTGTATAAAATGTAACATCCCATTTGTTGATGACCATTCATTGTGCCATAATCAGCTTGCTGACGATTCTGAAATGTTGGTGAAATACGTGCTATTTTCGTTGCGCGAAAAATTGTTATTCATGCCCAAATTAAACAAGACAAGGTGAGCTGTTGTCAAAAAAACTAATTAAGAATATCAGTCACAGGAGCAATTATTCTCCCCTCCGCCATCTTTAGAGTTTACGGCTCGTAGGAAATTTCCAATAGCATGTGAAGGCAGTATTATATCTGAGTTCCAGTAAATATGACTTAAGAGGGTATTCATGTCCAATTTCATATGAAACTTGTATTTATGATCATTCCGATACCACGTGTGAAGGCAGCATAGTCGCCACCTACTGACATAATGATGTAACCTTAAGAAAGTCCCTGAAAAATCCTTGCAATTCAGACAGACTGGAAAGTGCAAACACAAACAAGCAGTTGCTAGAAGGTCGCACAGCCTGTCAAATTCATGGACTGGAACTAAATGTTGTTGCCTATAATTTATGTCACATGTGTAATATCTAGCTGTGTCAAAAATGTTTAATCTATGACTGTTGCATTGCAGGGGTCATACAGCACACAGGTGGCATACAAAAGAGGTATTGAATGTGTTTCCACATCTCTGCACCTGATTAATTAGACAGTGGAGTCATTTGACTGACAGGCAAGGAATTTTTCAAACCACCTGTTAGTCAGCCTCTTTTAGTGAAAGCAGCATTGATGGTTAAAAAAAAAAAAAAAAAAAAAAAAAAAAAACTGTGTCAGCAGACCAAGCACAACCTTCCTGCACACTTCTCATACACTGGTGTGCAGTGCTGTCCCCACTGGGACAATAGTCTCATTGTCCATTCTTTAGGTCAGGGCCATTATTCCCATCCTTGTCCAGTGCGGCCCATTTTCATTCTCTCATATTTAACACAGTAGACTAGTCTCCATTACTCACACACACACACACACACACACACACACACACACACACACACACACACACACACACACACACACACACACACACACACACACACACACACACACACACACACACACACACACACACACACACACACACACACACACACACACACACACACACACACACACACACACACACACACACACACACACACACACACACACACACCTTACCTAAAATGAAGAAATGCATTCATATGAGGTAATTCATAACTCATACTATGACATCAGGTTGCAAAGACTGTTACACTGTTGTTACTTTTTAAAGACTGCTTCCATTTTAGTTATAAACTGAAGTCATTTTTTTCTTCAGAA